GGACCCACACCAATTCACCTTCCGCGTAGAACTGGTGGGAGGCCCTAAAATCATATGCCCTCTTTTGTTGCGCCAAGGCTCTGCACTGATGGCGATTCACCGCATCTGCCATCGTAGTCAATGTTCCCTTCAGTCTCTTAACATACTCGTCTACCGAGGCAAAGTCTTCACCTATCCTGGCCTTCAGGTACCCAGAATTTCCTCTTCTTATAGGGGTCTCAACAACGGAGAGGGGTCGGGCATTTGACCCACTGTACACGCCCCCTCTAGTTTCCCTGAACATAAGGACAGTCCCGACATATATGCCGGTAACAACCACACTCCCAGCAACCTCCTAGCCTCTCTTATTCCCTTCTTTTCGGGAATATTCTCGACTAGGCTGTAAGTTTGTGTTCTGAGCGTCATCGTGGGGACCAGGTGCAGCAGGTACAGACAGTGTGTGCACCACATTCTGGAGGGATTTCACCTCCTGCCTCAGGCACTCAACCACCCCCATTAGTGAATCAATACGCTCGTCATCAGCATTTTTCTCAGTTATTCCTCTCACTCTTGCATCCAACAATGAGCTGGTCTCCAAACCCTTAATGAGCTCAAGCTCTCCTGCAAGGTTGATGGCTGCTTCAAGTGATGCAGGCTTGGCACTCCGTAAACTCACTCTCAGGTCCCCATTTCCCACATGAGCTATAAACTGATCCTTCGCCAACAGGTCTTGTGTGTTGGGATCAGCTTTAACAGCAGACCGTCGTAATGCCATCCCAAATTCACGAACACTGTCATTATGCCATCTGCGTCGAGCGGAAAAAACAGCTCTATTCCAATCAGCGCTGTCACACAGATCCAAGCACCTCCCCATTTGCTTTTTTAACAAGGCATAATTAGCTATAACACTTCCCGACAAGCCATTATAAACCTCTCGAGCCTTACCAGACAAAAGAAGATACATAAACTTCAATCTAAGGGGCTCATCCCAATTATTTACATTGGCTGCCATTTCAAATTGTTCAGCCCAGTCTGCCCATTCACGGCCAACACCGGAAAAACTCTCAGGCATAAACATCGGCCGAGCCCCTGCGCTCACGGGCTGATTTACAGCTGAGCTCAACGAGGGAGGTGTGTTATTTTCAGGTTCTGACATTTTGGATTGCTGGATCCAACTTCTGACACCAGTGTAATATAAGTTTCAGTGGGAAAACGGGCAGAATATCTTGCCCTCCAGTCAGAACACAAAACAGCACCAGTAGGCAACACCTGATCTAAAATATCCTTTATTAACACAACCAACAATAAAACACTATGGCCAAGTTCCTTCACACTAAAAGCCAGCTGTCCAGCATAAATAAAAGCAAGCAGCGGTACTTAGCTGTCCCCAGTTGATGTGACCCCCTCCCCGGGGTCTGAGCTTCAGACACCGTCCAACGCCCTGGGGCTCAGCTTATGAGGATGCGGATACATCCACAACTTAGGTCCGGCTGCCAGAGTCTGTGGTGGCAGATGTCGGCGTGGTCTCGGCACCCAACTACTCCCAGCCCTCACTACCTAAAGAAGGCGTCAAGCGTTCCCTCCTATCGCTGGAACACTGCCCACCTGCTCAACTATCTTCGTCGCCAGCAGCCCTAAATGACTGCAAACGACCCCACCCCCCAGAATCCGGTACCACAATGACAGGTCAACCACACACACCACCTTGGTAGATCTGCCACCCTTTTGTTTTCTCCGGCCTCATTACCCGTAACAAGGACCAGCCGGCGTCCAATCACCACGCCCTCAGAATCCGGCAACTCCCGTCTTCTGTCTTTCATACTGTTGGAAAGAATTTTGCTGTTTCTTTATTAAAATAATGTTTCTTACGACGTAAGTTTGTGTTTATAATGGTATTTATAAAATAAAACACTATATTGTATTCATAATGTTGAACTCCTCTTTGAGCACATCCCTTGAAGGATCATAGGTCTTAGCAACACCTGTGAAATTGTATTTGCAGGAAAGAAGTATGTCCCGTTTATTGAAGTATTTTGTGTTTAGAGTTTTTGACGTCTTGTCCATGCGTAGTTCAGTTACGCTCATAGCTGCTAGCCAAAACTCTGGAGTTAAGTTTTCTGGCTTTACTAAAATACCTCTCTGTACTTATTTGATTGATGGTGGTTTTACTTTCTATTGGACTCTGAATGTAATCATTTGGCACGTTTCTAATTCATAATTTGTAAGAATGTAATCGGTGAAATTAGCATTAGCATTCCTATGGGTTTTCCCATGTATATTAGCATTGCGCTAACCACTTGCTGCCAAATTGCAGTCTTTGCGATTAGAAAATCTCCTTTTGTCACATCGCAGTTTTACTCACTCACTGCCAGCCTTTTCCTGATCACTAACGGCCTTCGCTGCCAGCGTTTCTCACCGTTTTTACTGTTTTTTAAAGAGTCACAGAACGTTGCGCGCTAGCATGATGTCGATGCCAAAACAACCAAAACAAAGAGGAGACTCATCTCTTACATCAGGATGAAGCAGTGTGTTTCGAGCGTTATCCGTTCTTTCATAATCCGTTGTCGAGTTGTGATCGGCAGACGCTTTTCCGGTTCGCGCCTCACTTTTTTTACAGGAACGGCCCAAAACGATCTCCAAACACATGGATGTATTGCTTCCTGATCATGTGATCTGTGACGTATGCGGATGAAGATCGGCTTCAGGGCTGAGATGTTTGTTCTCTCAGCGCGGGGTCTCGTTCCGATGCTCAAACAGTAAAAAAATGCAAATGACGACTTTAGTCGTCATTGGCAGTTAATGAGTTAATTGCACATGCAATTAATCGTTCAGCCCTAATATACATGCAGCTCTATGCTGAAAGTGTATTTTCAAAGAGATAATGATGGATTTCTTTGTAAAAGTTGTCCATCTTTCCAACAGAAAAATTTGTCTGGACCAACGTCACGTGATAACGTAATGTGATTACATAATTTCCATAAGGTTCATGTTCAGCCAATCAACTAGTTTGACGTCATCGGCAGTCAAAGGACCCCGAGCCGATCTTGCACCCGAGCAGATCCTGTACCGACACCGGCCCTGGCTACCTACAGGAGGTGGCTGGCCTCCCCTCCTCTCACTGGAACGCCTCTCCTCTCGCTGGCTGTCTTCGCCTCCGGCAGCCCTAAACAGCTGCGATTGACACCCACCCCCCGTCACCAGGGCTCTGCGTCCGCTCAGACAGTCGGACTGTTATCCCAAACACGAGCCTTCCCCTCCCCAGTCTCTCTATCTCTTCCCGTGTCCTCATCAGTGCGATAATACCTCACAACTGGCCCTCGAAGGTTAACTCCGCCCTCTTCACACCACAATAGAACATAATAGAAAATCTCTTTATTTTCCCTCAATGGGGAAATTTGGCGTCACAGCAGCAAAAGGAACAAAGTGATTGTTGGGTTATTTTTTAATAAAACCAGGTCACCTTAAACAGATGTCAAATGCACAGAGGATTAGAGCAATATTATTGTTCAATTTTACTTTGCAAAGTGGAGAGATGAAATGAAAACACACCCAAGCATGGTTCACAGGATCTCTCAGCGAACATTCGTTCTCTGAGGGTATTTATTAGCAAGCACACACAACACATCACATCCCTAAACTGCTCCGTAGAGATTCAGGTGGAAAGCTGTTTAACGTAGGGAGTACAATGCCACAACTCCCTCATACAAAACCAGGTGCATTCAGTCAACATTCTATTTCCCATGGGAGTATAACTGATAACAGACCAGTGTGGTCTGTGGAAGGTCGTTGTCCTCCCTGTTGAGACGGGAAAGCTGGCAAAGGATAACACTTGCATTTTAATGAAGCAACAGGTGTTTTACTTATAAGGCAGCTATGATTTTAAGCAGTAATGTCAGCAAAACCAATTTTTCCTCTATCAGTGACAAAACACAGAGAGAAAAAGGCTGTATGAACTGTTACAGAGGAAACTCTGTTACTAGTGGCTATTTTTACATTTCACACCATGGTGTTAACTTAAATCCTAACAGCAATGATTGATACAAGTCTTATTTAAAAAAAAATTCTTTGTCACCTTGTCCAAATGTTTGTCTGGTTGATTGGTTCCAGCTGGGGGGAGGAATGTTTGGTTCCACCTAAACAGGACAGAGAATATTCAGTCAGTTTTACCATGGGAATAACTCTTTGACAGTAATGTGTTCTGTGTGTGGACTGTATTTTAAATAGGTAAATGAACCAAACTTACCTGTCTTTTCTTCTCCAGGGTGTCCTGTTAAGGGTTTCCCCTAAAACATGGGCACCATTTTAAAGGTTCTGGGAGGAGCCATGAGGCAGAGTGGGAAGGGGTGTTTGGGAATTGCATTTTGGATGTTTATGGTGTTAAAATGTTATAGATATTTGTATTGTTGTGATGGCTTTGTATGGGTTTTTAGGATTTGTTTATGTAGAAGGGAGTGTAATTATTTAGGATTTGAGTTTTTAGAAGGGAGTGTAATTATTAAAGATGCCCTATCACATGGTTCAGTCCAGAGTACTGATGAGTTCCACAGTATAAAAGGCGCCACTGAACATCTGTACGGTTGTTGCTGGTCAGAGCTCTGCAAGCATGTGAGCACTGGTGTAAATAAAAATGGGAAACTACTCCATCTTAGATGGAGACTCCTCTGCATCATTTGTGCTGCTCCGCCTCCTACCACTACCCGGTCCAGTCTACAGAACAAAAACATGCTAATTTACGCATTTAAAAAATAATACTGTCAATCTGTTACTTTTCCTTCTACAACCCCTTAAATAAAAAACTGTTAATAATACAGCTGTGGGCAGCTTTTATTCCATTTGATCGGTTTTCTTAAATAGAGCATCACAGCCCAGCTTCATGGAGAGTTTGGATCATACGTTAACAACTTTTATTATCTGTGTACGACTGGTAATAGCTGAGGTTAGCACATCCATCCACGATAATTAACCCCCACCAGACAGCCCGGTTTATTCTAACTGTGGTTGTGTTTTTGTTCACCACCTAGAGCGAGCCTTTCAGGCTGAACTTTGCTCCAAGCAGCTGAAAACATCCAGCCTGAGAGGATGTGAACAGGTTTCTGTGTTGGTGAACACATCAGAGGTGAGACCCTGTGAAGCTGCTTTGTGTTTGTTTCTAATGATTCAGTGCGCTCATCGAGGCTCTAAATGACACAGCTGTTGTTTGGTTTCCCCTCCATTGTTGTCGTATCAGGATTCCTCGTCAGCAGCTGTAGAAGAGCCAACCACAGTCCATCAGGATATTGTCGTGATCAAAGTAGACGAGCAGGACGTGAAAGAGAAGATCAACATGGATGAGATGTTTCTGAACGAGGACGGTGAGAGGAACCAGAAAGCACTGATTGTTTTCATCATGATTAGGATTCGTCTACGGGGGGGGTTCGGTTGAAGCAGCTTTTAGTTTGAACATTTTAAAGAGCAAGTCACCCCCAAATCAACCTTTTTTTTCTGATAAACTAAATAACTGTGTGTCTAATCGTGCTGCAGACACGTGCTGTCAATAGTTTTGCACTTTAGTGCATTTTAGTTCAAATTTAAATTTTCTGCCTAAAACTGTCAGTGTTGTGCCGTTGTCGGGTAAAAACTCTGCACTGCAGTTGAATTTAAATCTGCCATCGCTATTGGCTTAGAGGTACTCTAGAATGTTAGCTGGTACCATATGATGTCACAATGTCATTGTGACAGCCTGTGTGTGTGTGTATTTGTTAGCGGCTCTGCCCTCTCAGTCTGCTAGGCAACAGCATTTGTTGCATTTTTCAAACAGGAAGTGGGAGTGGAGTAATACTCTGGTAGGGGGAGACTTGCTCTTTAAACAGGAGGATAAGGTTTAAAAAAAAAAACAACAATCAGCAGCTCCAGATGTGTTTCATCTGTGAGAACAGCTGGAGGGAATCAGGTTTTATCCCCACCTGGTTTACCTTCCAAATGAAAAGTTTAATGTTTCCATCACAACTAAAGGATTTAGAGTAAACAAGAACAGCTGATGGGGAAGTTCATAAACCAAACGGGCAACATCTATATAAACACCTAAACTCATCACTCTAAATGTATAAAACCCTTTATTATAAAAGTCAGCTGTTTCCAAATGTTTCTACATTAATACAGATTTTTTTTCTATGAATTGTTTTCCACAGGTTAGCTCAACAATCCTGTAATGGTAATAAATCCCATCATCTGAATAACCATGAATCTAAAGGCTGGAGAATTGTGTCACCTGGTAGCTGTGGTTTTTTTTCCCTGTCTGGTCGGATTTATCAGTTATTGTATCACATGAAGACTTCACTTTGATTTAAAGAGCACCTTCCACAACCTGGTCGGATGCCCAAGGTGCTGGACACAACATTAAAACGGACATTTGTCCTTTTAGATTTCACTAACTCCGATAAGTCTTGTATGGTATTGTCATGAGTTATCATGTTTTATTTTAAATCAAGATCAAACTGCTAATTCAAACTTGATGTGTTGTAATAAGAGAAAATAGCTGAAGACCAATTAACCAAACGATGGTAAAACAAATAAACTCAGATGTTTTTATTGTGATGAATCAGAAGCAGCCTTCCTGACAGGAACGTTCCGGTGATCCCACATCTTTGTGTTGAAATCTTCTGGTTTTGATCCCTTATGTTCAGGATCGGAGGCGCTGCCGTCTGAAACAGATGAGACTGAAGAGGGGCCGTCTGGGATGAGGAGCTCCTCCGCTACAGAGATGCGGTCCTGGCCTCGTAGCAGTAACGGGCTGTCGGTGCGACTCGGGTCCCACAGCGCGCCAGCGTCCCCGGGCCCTTCAGGGGCCGCTGAGGGCAGCCCTTCAGACGTGATGTTGGATTTGGCTTCAGAGTCGGACACAGACATCCCGTCTGCAGCCCAGATGAGGAAGCAGATCCAACTCGGGTCTAGAGGAAGTCCGGCCTCTCTACCTGGAACTGCAGATTCAAAACAGTGCTCGTCTCTGATTGGCTCACTGCCCTATGATTCAGAGCTGGATCTGGGCTCCTCATGGACCAGCCAGGGTCTGCCCAGCATGATGTCGATCCATCATCGAACATATCTGAAGCCAGACCAGCAACCAGTGCTCCTTGCCCTCGGCGGATCCAGACTGGATCCCCTGGACCTGAACAGGTTCTGCAGAGACCGGCGTTTCACCTGCAGCTACTGCAACAAATGTTTCACATCAGCTCGAAGTTTGGAGACGCACGTACGAGTTCACACTGGTGAGAGGCCGTACAGCTGCACTCAGTGTGGGAAACGCTTCACACAGTCTGGTCACCTGAAGACGCATCAGAGCGTCCACACGGGGGAGCGACCGTTTCCCTGTGAGCGGTGTGGGAAGAGATTTGCTGCCAAGCAGAACCTGAGGATCCATCAGCAGAAACATCACATGGGTGACCAGATCACAGAACCAGTTTAACACGGACACAGCTGAACACTGTGCTGAGACCTGTGCTAATGTGAAGACACACTGAGCTGCAAAAGGGATGGACCAGAACCTCCAAGGACCATCTGAACTTTTATTTAAAGCATTTAAAGACATTTTAGCAGAAACGTCATAAACCCGCCTGATGTTAATGTGTATTTATTTATTTATTTTAAGGTTACTTGATGCTGAAGCAAAACAGTTTTTGGTCCAGTTCAAAGTTGTTGTTTTTTTTTTTTCTCTTTCAGAAAAAAAGAGCACCTGTAGAGTTTTTTTACTATTATTCATTAATTTACTGTCATGAGCCAGCTCCTATAAAAGGCATGCTAATGATCACTGGTCTCTGCATTTCTGGAAATAAAATGATCTTTTTGAATTTCTAACCTCATTTATTATTAAAACCTTTTTACCTAGATTCATAGATTTTTCTAAATTTTTTCAGAAATTTATTCCATGGCTGTTACTTATCCAGCTTAAAAATAAGATTTCACTTTCAATAAGATGCATTTTTAGTATTTAAAAAGTTAAACGTTCTTATTTTATCCAAATAGTTTATTATGTCAGATCAATAAACTTTCTATGAATGTAATAATAAACTTAGTCCAGGTGCCTTTGGGTTCAAGATTAAACCATGAAACGCTGCAAACTTTTATTTTGAATAGCGGATATTACGTCGTAAGTGACGTAAAGGGAAAGGAAAAACATTGTTTTCTTTGTAGTTTTACTTCTAAACACTCCTTTGTAGTCCCAATTTCTCTGGATCAGTCGAAGACATCAGAGGTTCTCTCGGTCTCGAGCGGTTCGGTTCCGGTTCCCGTGGAGCGGCGGAATGTCGGTGTTAAACAGCAAAGCTCTCCACGAGCAGCTGTGTCTGATCATGGGCGCGCTGACCAAGGCGGCGGTGGCGGAGATCTGCGAGCTGGTGGACGAAGGCTACGCGGTGCTGCAGCTGGAGATCAGCCGAAGCCACAAGGAGAACGAGGACCTGAAGAAGAAAATGCATCTGATCGAGTCCATCGTGGTCCGCAGCAGCAGCGGGGGGCAGACCGCGGAGGACACCGGGCTAACGGAGGCCGTCCAGCAGCCGGAAACACAAGCTCAACAGCGGGCTGAAGCCGCTGCTGCATCCGGAGGAGACGCGAGGGTGGAGCGGGAGGAGGTAAACACACCACCGGGGCTCCGTTACTCTCCTACCGGGACGATCGGTGTTATAACGGTGTAGTTTGGCACCGGTAGGTGCGGTGTTGAGATGTGTTTCCCTGTCAACAACAGTCCCCCAACCAGTGTTACATGTGTAAGATATGCAGATGCTGACAGGATATATTCCTTTACCGTATAAGGAGTGGTATGGGCTGCATGGTGGTGCAGTGGGTAGCCCTGATGCCTCACAGCTAGAAGGTTGGTGAAGGTTCTCAGTCATCCAGGTCATGGTGATCCAAAGGGTTCAAATGAAGGCAGCTGGACGGCTTTGGTTTCTTGAGGATTTCACGTACCTATAATGCAGCTTTGGATCTCATTCCTAAGCAGTTTCAGTCTAGGCCACACCTTCCTGCATCTAATCAACACAGCGACTCCCTCTGGCTAACGACTCATCAGGGGATGGAAAGGAGGGGTACTCACAGTAGTTTCTGCTCATTAAATAACAGACACCTACAGCGTATAAGCTTGACTCTCCCATATCCCAGTTAGAATTGACAAGGCTCCTCAGATGAGAAGCGAAACATCTCAAAGAAACCAAAGAAGTCCAGTTGTCTTCATCTGAACCCATTGGATCACAGCTAGAAGGTTGCAGGTTCAAATCCATCTGTGTTTCTCTGGTTTCCTCCCACAGACCAAAAGCTTGTCTGTCAGGTAATTGGAGACTAATTGTCCCTAGGTGTGAGTGACTGGTGGCTTGTCTCTGTGTGTCCCTGTGATGGACTGGAGACCTGTCCAGGTGTCTAGCTCTTGGACAACTGGAGTGAGACAGCAGCTCGTTGAGACCCTGAGCAGTTTAGATGATGAGTGTCTTATTTTCTTACTGAACACCAGGTAAACCACCTTCAACATCTCCAGTAAAAGTTCCCTCGCCACACACAAAAACAACCAAGATGCAGTTTGTATTCTACTCACTGATTATAGTTAGACAAACCTTCACGCCTCCTCTGGACATGCCTCAGCTCTTTAATCTGGTTCTGGATTTGGGTTAAAATCCAACATTGATCTCTAGATCAGAAGCTATTTTTCTCTTCTTTTTAAATCTGACCATCCAGACTATAATGTTTTTGATGTCACGGTGAATCTTTTATATTTATGTAGTCGTGATGATGTCGTGGCCCTGAAACCCCCAGTAGATGCAGCGATGAGGAACTGGAGATCTGAATTTTAATGAGAAACAGGACATGAGGTGTTAGCCACCATCAGCTTGTTTCTGTTTAGAAGATTGAAATGAAAATGTTGTCCAGATGTTTAATTTTAAAAGGTTCTGGTCTTTTGTGGTGTCTCCAGGTTTCAGAAGTGGTGCTGATTAAAGATGAAGACTCGGACTGTGATGATGCTGTGGAGGAAGGTGTGCATAAACAACACACTTTAATTTATTTGTTTTAAGTCAGAAAACCAACTTTTCTGGATGCTTTTGAGTAGGGATGCACCGATACGGATACTGATACCAGTATCGGTATCGTAAAAGTTAACAGATACCAGTAAATGATACCAGTGCAGTTGCTTGAAAGTGACTTCACTGTAACTTGTCATTTCTGTCCACCTAATATTTTAGTTTTGTTATCACTTATATTACTTTTTATCTACCTCACAGTCTTTTCCTATTGAAAACAGAAGAAAATAAAACCTGTATTCCAATTCATTGCATTTTTTTGTGTGGTAGAAGTATCTGTATCGGTAATTGGTATCGCGATTACTCAGATCCAAGTATCTATCGTATCGGTTTGGAAAAAAGTGGTATCGTTGCATCCCTACTTTTGAGTTAAACTTCCCTTCAGAGCCTGAATAAACACCAGCTTTAGCAAATATTTACAGGATGTTGTGTAAAGTTCTGGATTTACATGCCACCACACATATATTTGTGTTTTTGTTCAGATTCTGGACCGCCTTCTGATGTGGGGGCAGCTGCAGTCACAGGAAGCATCCCACCAACTCCAACCAGCCAGAGGAGGAGGAGGAGGAGGTGCAGTCGGGGGAGTAGTGAAGATGCTGAGAAGTCATCTTCATCGTCGGATTATCAGCAGACTGCGGGGGCAAAGACGAAGGTGTCGGTCTACCACGTGGACTCCTCTCGCAGCGAGGCACTGATGGAGAACATCCAGATGGAAGCTGGACCGTCCTACACGACAGAGGTGGACCCAGACATCCAGCTGGTTCAGGACTGCTCGCTGGTCTCCCCGAGCTCCAGCAGGCAGATGTTTTACAGCAGCGGTGCTCGGATGGAGGCCCAGACTTCATCAGCCAGATCAGAACTGGATCTGAACGCTGAATCGGCCTGGAGCAAGCAGTCCAAAGGTTTCGCTCAGTTTCACCAGAGTGAAAACATGGCCAGTGACACGTTTGGGCTGAAGCTGATTAGCGTCTCTGGGTCCACGTCCACAGACTGTCAGCTCTCCAACAGCAGGAGCTCCACGTTCGAGTACGAAGATGGTGGCGAGGTGCTTACGTTCGGGCTCTACGGGGGCTCTACGGGGACCAGTCAGGCCGGTGGCCAGCAGAGCCCTGGCTCAATGAGGAAGCGCTTCGTGTGCTCCATCTGCAGCAAGACGTACGCCACCGCCCAGAACCTGGAGGTCCACATGAGAATTCACACGGGGGAGCGGCCGTTCACCTGCGATCAGTGCGGGAAGAAGTTCACCCAGTCGGCGCACCTGAAGTCACACCACAACGTTCACACGGGCGAGCGGCCGTTCGCCTGCCAGCTCTGCTCCAAACGGTTCATCGTCAAATACAGCCTCAAGTTACACATGAAGAAGTGTGTACCGCAGAACTCCGAGGACAGCGAGTCGCTGCAGAATGTTCTGTAAACGACCCGTTGGATAAAATCCTCTTTTCTTTCTGCAAGTTACCATGCAAATTTGTCTTTTCTCTAAAATTTTCATTTTTGTTTGTCTTGTTTGTTGGAGAAAATGGGACTTTTACATTGTTTTGTGGTTCTAGGGTGGAATGTAGAACGTTAGAAAGTAGCCACCAAATCAAAGCTTTTCATTCAGACTCTCCACTGATTAAAGGACGTGAGCAGCTGTGTGTAAAAGAAGTTTTAAAGATCTGTATTTCAACCTGATACGTAAGAGAAGCTCTTCCACTGGCTGCATGTTGGTCAGCAGTGGAGAGATTACAGATCTCGGTGAAAAATTAACTCCTGGAAGCCAATAATTCCTCCGTGCATCATCCTCACGGCTTTATTGAGAGATGGACATGAGTTTCCATAGTCCTGAAATACCAAGTCAATATTTTCTTTCTCAAAAACTATTCTCCAGTTTCATTTCTTTGTCCAAATTTGTTTTTTTTTTTTTAGCTACAAATTAGGAATACTTAAAATAAGATCATGCATGTTCTATATTAACTTCCCTGGCTTTTTATATTTCTTCCAAAAATCTAGTTTTATTTCTTCCTGATCACTAGATTTGAATTTTAAATTATGCTGTCTAAATAAACTTGGACTGATCAGTAATGGGCTTGGTCACTTAAAGGAGACATAACATGCTTTTAAGTTATTCCTTTTTACATCTAAATCCTTCAGTTGGGGTCTAAATACAGTCGAGCTGCAGTTCTTTGGTCCATGGACGTAATTGGGGGGGGGGGGGGGGACAGGGGGGACATGCCCCCCACTTTTTCCGAAGTCATGTTTTGACCCCTGCACTTTTTACCATCCAAAAACAACATTACGCTATATTAAATTGACACTGGTTGAGCTCTAGGACCAAGCGGAAAACAGTTTGTGTTGAAGCCTGTTTCCCATTAGAACATACTGTAAAGAAATTCCCAAGATCAGTCTGCTTTGCTAACAAATATAGTTAAGTCTGACCTGCATTCTAAATAAATACCGTTAGATGAAAACATCAGTAGGCATTGAGTTATTGATAAAATCCCTAACAGCCAGAATGGAAGAAGAGCATGCTGGGTAATCCTGGACCTGAGCCTGTTCTGTGTATTTACCTAAAGGATGCAATAAATGTCTACAAGGCTGAGTTTGGACCATTACATCTAAAGAAAACACACAATCAGTGATTTTTTTAATTGTTTACATTAATATACAAATTTTCTAAGTATTAACCTCACAGCAAATAAGTAGAACAATATAATAAACAGGCTTTAGTAGTTAAACAGGCGTTGTGCACACAGGTGCTTTGTGTCCCGGTGCTGGTGGTATCTAGGTCTCAGAGTTCCTGTCCTCCTGCCGTCTTCTGTTGTCCTCAGGATAAGGATTGATGTTTCCTGATGATGAGGGAGGGGAAGTATGTGGGCTTCAAACTGGTCCTGGATAACAGTGGGAGACCTCCGTTGTCTGAATACTGAGACCAGAGGGTTGGTGAGATGCAGATCTTCTCTACCTCATCTAGAAATGGAGATGGTTCGGGGAAAACTTTTCCAAAGACCAGTTCCATGATGTCATCGCCATATTCTGCAATGATAGACAATAACTTTAATGACATATTTTGTCTACAAGCAGCTTTAGGAATGTTGGTTCTTTAGCTTTCATAGTCACGTTTGTGTTGCTGCAGTGACTTCATATTTTCCTACAAATGTAATAAAATAGTGACACTAAAATTATACAGATGATTGCTTATGAAAGGAAGCTCATTAGAGAGCAGTGCAGACAGACTTACAACATGCTGCAGCTGTTTTTATAGGCTAGCTGCTGCTGAATTTGGGGAAAGTTATTCTGTATATGTCCAGATCAGATGGTTGTTTACAGAAAATAATGCAATTCAATAATTTCTAAACAGACTAAACAAGTAAAACATCAAATAAATCACTCTGCTGTCATCAAACAGAGTGATTCAGGGGATGAGGTGTTCTTAATGATGAGGGTGGCTGAGGTGTGCCATCACTCACTTTGGTCTGGTCCAGACCGTCTCTTTACTGGTGGGTCTCCTTCCTCAGTAGGTGACATGAAGCTCCAACATCTGAACGTTCTGTGTTCCTTAGAGGAGAAGAAAAGTAACATTAGCAAGCTGGCTAAATTATTTTTTACTAGCATCTCAAGGACTTGGAGAAGCAGATCTTCACTTACCTAAACATCAGACCAGTTTGTCCCAGCTGAGCTCATCAGGGCTTTAGTCTGACAGCCTGTCAATCAAACAATCAATCAATCAAAGCTTTATTTATAAAGCTGTCAGTGAAACACGGCTCCAGCCTTCTGGATGTGGACTCTAAAAAGCAAAGGAGCATTTTTACTTTTGTTTTAATTATTTTACAGCCGATTTTATCAGCTTTCCGACGCTCACGCTCAAACAGACGGTGAGCTTTGCTGCGTCTGACTGATGCAGAGTTAGTTTTTATATCTGCAGTGAGACAAAAACTAACCTCACTTCACTCAGAGATTGTTCTTTAAAACTCTTTTAAATCCACTGTGTTGACGCACTTTAATGACTTTGTCACGCTGCATTTTAGCTGATATGGGACTTTATTTACTGGATGCTAAGACTACATCACATTCACGTAGAATAACACACAGGCTCTCTGCTGTTACAATCAGTGGAAGGTTATCATCTGGTGTAAAAAAGGCGTTGATCAGAAATCACGTTTTATTCCACGAAAATCGGCCAAATCCACATTAATCTGGGTGCTAACTTTACTAGCATACTGTGCTAGCGATAGCAAGTCGGATGCTGACGCTTTAGTGCTGCTAAAGCCCGTAAATCTAAAGTAAAGTTTGTCGACATTTTAGAGTGATATGAAGCTTCCCGCTCTGCTGCTTTGTCCCGTTGTTGCCACATTCAGATGGAAATGACTCCCAGATAGATGAAGCCCTCAGTACTTACTAGCCTGGGAGACACGAACGAACGCGCGCTCATACACACACACAGAAACACACTACTTTTTTCTTCTGTTTTTTTTTTTTTTTTTTAGCAGTTGTGTCATCAGCTTCTGGGTTTTAAATACTGCCGCACCACCCTTCCTTAAAACGAGGAACAGTTTTGAGCTGTGTGTGGCTAAAATAACCAGACATTCTGCATTTTTCCAATAGGACTACAAAAAATCTTAGCGAGAAGAAAAAATGGTGGATTGGCTCTGTGTTTAGCCGAGGGCCATGACCATATTTGGTAGTTATCCTGACGAAATAAATTACTGATGTAATAGATAATTTGAAAAACTGAACGGGTGGACAAATATGCCCAAAACTTAATTATTAGATATCTAAATAGCAAACTCCAGTGAATAATATATGCCTTTTTGCTCACTTAGACACTTAGAATGTGAAACACACTGTGTTAATGGATAAAAAAGTGGGTTTTTCATGTTATGTCTCCTTTAAGACTCCACGGGAACCCTGTAAGCATTTCTCCTCAAAAGTAAGTTGCCCCGCATATGTAAAATAGGCTACATGTATTATCTAAAACTCATTATGGAAAAAAATCCCTTTTATTTCCAAGTTTATAAAACGTTCACCCCAACATTAGTCCTCAATATTGTTAAAACAGAGAAAGAAAAATCCTAGCTTACCTCCATTTTGGCAGCTACTTCCCTCTGTCCCGGCTACACACACAGCATAGCGGTTTCACGGTTCCATTGAGAGAGAGGCAGGAGTCAAATAGTTGTCTCCGCCCACCTCTAAACCTTTGATCCCACCCACATTTAGCCCCGCCCCGATCTCCGGGAGGCGGATTTGCGGAGGAGCGGCTGGAAGATGGCGGCGAGGGGGTAACATTCTAGAGCGCCTCCTGTTTGAAATTAGACTCCAACCGTTATAAACTTTTTAAAACCACGAAAAAACGCCTCAGACACACATTATCTAAAGAACTGACATATTTTTAAGATGGTGGCAGTTGGATAAACTTCGAAAGAAATAAGGAACTGCAACGGAAAACTACTCGGTGAGTTGTAAGCTAGCAGAATGCACCAAGCTAAACCAACAAAGGAGAAAATGAGTCACCAACTAAAAAAAAAACGGAATTCAAGAGAAAAGACTCAACTCCCACTAAAAAGAAAACTCCGTGTGCATTGCTTAGCGACCATAATTACGAGGCTTCACAGGAGGAAGAGATGGAATCCACCTACCTCCATGACTCTCCATTGAGTAGCCCAGCTCCCAAGAAGCTTAACAGCGGACAAACTGAACCATCCATGTATGAGCTACAGATGACAATTTTAAAAGCTGTAAACGAAAGAGCCGACGAGCTGGCACATCTGAAGCAGCAACGTAGCAGATATCAAGGAACTGAAAGTTTTTCTCGAGTTCGCACATGAAGAGATAAATGATATAAAATCAGAAAATACAGCCCTAAAGAAGCAGTGTGAAAAACACCAGATGGAGATAATATCACTGAAGGAACGGGTGACTGATGCTGAACGCTACAAGCGGAGATGGAGCCTGCGACTCTACGGTTTGGTTTACCTGAACAGGATAACAAGGTCATCAAACAAAGAGTGGCGGACATCTGTCAGAAGATTTCACCAGAAATGGGAGCCAAAGCAGCGGAGGGAATCGACATCGCACACAGGCTGGGGAAACGAGCTGACTGCAAAAACCGCAGTATCATCATCCTGTTCGCCTTTCGCTCCGTGAGGGATGAGGTCTGGAGAGCTGCAAAAAACAACGCTTACCTACGTGAGAAAAGACTACAGTTTGGAGAAGACTTGACTAAAGAAGAAAAAGAGAAGAGAGCTGCGCTGTGGCCCCTCATCGAAAGGGCGCGCAAGGATGGGAGCAAAGCTTACTTTGTGGGAGTCAAAGGTTACATAAATGGTAAGGAAATCCACCAGGTACCTGAAAACTGAACTAAATCATTAAAAAAAACTGCGCATGGATTGGTCCTGGTTGTCTGTATTTCACATCCTTTTACACTGACTGTTAAGAGATTTCTGGGTTAAGTTCTCAACAGTGATTTGTTAAACCAATATTCTATTCAATACTCAAATTGTTTTAGACTCTGGCTACATACTAGAATATCCTAAATGTTTCCTTACACATGTTCAAATAGTTAATTGTATGCTGGATGGTTTTCCAATGCAGTTCATCTGTTACACAAAAAGTTTTATTTTACTATGTTAAAGGGTCATATACAGGAGTCGTTTCGTATATTTGACGTTTTTGGAAAATATTCTGGTAATTTCTCTTAAGTTTTATTTCTGGAGCTTACTTTAATATCGATAAACACCAGGGGTCTGCGAAATATTGTAAAAAGAAAAGCATTCTTCTTGTTCTGCAAGGAGGCAAAAACTGATTTTATTTTTCTTCAAGAGACTCATTCTTGCTTAGAGGATGAAACATTCTGGAAAAACCAATGGGGGAAAGATATTTGGTTTTCTCATGGATCTAATAGGTCTGCTGGAGTCATTATATTAAAGGACAAATTTGATGGAAAGATTTTAGATAAACAAATTGATGATAAAGGTCACTACATATTTCTGGCAATAGAGCTTCATGCACATATTTTCTTATTAGGGAACATTTATGGGTATAACTCAGACTCTGTTAACTGTTTTTTATTAAATGAAACTGAAAATGTTATTCATTCTCTTACCTGTAAATACCCTTCAGCCAACATTATTTTGGGAGGAGATTTTAACATGGAACTGGACAGACACCCCCCTAAATATTCGAAATGTAGAGATGAAGAAAACAATCTTATCAAATTTAGCAAAAGATTCAACTTAATGGACATTTGGCGACATCATAACCCAACAGCGAAACAATACACATGGAATAATAAAGATCTATCTCGCTGTTCCCGAATTGACTTTTGGCTGGTCTCTGATAACCTTCATGAACAAGTCACTGAAGTGAAAATAAGTCCTACTATTATGACAGATCATAAAACAATTTTTATTAAATGTAGTCTGTCTCAACAGCATAATACAAAACAATTTAACTATTGGAAATTTAATAATTCTTTATTGAATAATAGTAGCTTTATAGAAACTACAAACAGACTTTTAAAACGATATTGGGAACAAGCAGTTTCTACAAATGGGTTTGGGAAACATTGGGAACTGTTCAAATATGAAGTTAGAAAACATGCCATTAGTCTAAGCAAAGACTTAGCTAAAAAAAGAAAAGCTAGAATAGAATTTTTAATTAAATGTATATCGAACATCACCCTGAATCTTACTGATAATGAAAAATTATTACAGCTAAACTCCTTTCAATCTGAATTAGATGACATTTATAAGGAACAAGCTAAAGGCGCATTCATAAGATCAAGACTGAAATGGTTGGAAGAAGGAGAGAAAAACAGTAAATTTTTTTTAACATTGAAAAAAGAGACATTGAAAGAAGTACCCTAACTAAATTAAAAATAGGAAATGCCATAACAACAGACTATTATACTATATCCAAATTTGTGTCCAAATATTATACTAATGTGTACAAAATGGAAACATGTTCCGATTCATCCAATATATTTAATTCGCTTGAAGATGTCAAAAAAGCAAGCACCACTCTTAGAGAAGAGTGTGACGAACCATTATCTATTGAGGAAGTAAAATGGGGAATTAAAAATCTTAAACTCAACAAATCACCTGGTAATGATGGCCTCACAGGTGAATTTTACCAAACGTTTACTGCAGAAACCTCAAAATTCCTTTTGGCTGTATATAATGAATCCCTAAATAATGAAGAATTACCTCACTCCTTGAAACAAAGTCTAATAACATTAATCCCAAAACCGAATAAAGATGCTCTTCTAATTGATAATTGGCGTGGCATTACATTATTAAACAACGATTACAAATTTCTTGCTTCAGTAATAGTCAAACGGCTAAAATATGGAATTAATGACATTATCCATGAAGCCCAAAATGGCTTCTTACCTGGACATCATATTTCAAACAATATTAGATTAGTTTTGGACTTGATTAATTATAATTATTTACTCTCTAGGGACCCAATTATTCTTTTTTTAGACTTTCAAAAGGCATTTGACACAATTAACAATGAATTTATATTTGATGCTTTAACCTTCTTAAACTTTGGTTATTTCTTCATCAAAGCAGTGAAAACACTTTATAGAAACAACAATAGCTCAGTCAAACTCATGTGTGGAACATCTCAAAGATTTAATGTAGAAAAAGGGGTGCGCCAGGGTTGCCCAGCCTCCCCTTATATCTTCTTGCTAGTAGCCCAAATATTAAACTATTTAATACTGCAATCACCTTTGAAGGGAAACAAATTTTTGACAAAGAAATCAAAATCTCGCAACTAGCAGACAAAACTACTTTGTTTCTGCAAAATATTGGACAAATACCTACAGCTTTATCTACAATATCTGAATTTTCAACAATATCAGGATTAAATCTAAATATCAAAAAATGTGAAATTCTACCCCTAAAGTACAGCTGCCAATCTGAAATATGTAACATTCCTATTAAAAACATAGTAACTTATTTAGGCATTAAGATATCAAAAAATATTAGAGAAACTCCGGACTTAAACATGCTCCCAGTGACTCAGGCTATTAAAACTAAGTTTAATTGTTGGGCCTCCAAAGATTTATCCATATACGGAAGAGTTCTGCTAAGCAAGGCAGAGGGAATGTCTAGAGCAGCCTATGTTTTTTCAATCTTGGATATTCCAAAATCCATTTGCTCCCAACTTGATAAAATTCTTTATAATTTTATATGGAAAAACAAGCCTGACAAGGTAAAAAGATCTGTTCTCTCAAATCCAGTGGCTGAAGGGGGCCTTAATGTACTGACCTTTATCTCATTTAACCAAATTATAAAAATCAATTGGATTAAAAGATTCATTAAAAGCCCTAATAGCATGTGGAATATTGTCCCAGATAATATTTAATGCCTTTGGTGGACTTAACTTTCTGTTGATATGTCCTTTCTCAGTAGGAAAACTCCCAGTTAAATTAAGTAATTTTCATAAACAAGCTTTATTATGTTGGAATCTTATCTTTAAACACAACTTCTCACCTCACAAATGTATTATTTGGAACAATGCATATATCGTAAACAAAAATAAAACACTATCTACACAATTGGTCATTAAATAATGTAAACACTGTGAATAATCTACTAAATACTACTGGCGAAACATTATCCCACAAAGACTTCTTAGAAAAATATAATATTAATACTTCACAAGAAGAGTATAACATGGTAATTAAATCCATCCCTGTTTGTATTTTCTCTTTAGCACAGACCATACAATCAAACAATATCTTGTCTGCAGCAGTCAGACCTCCAACTATTTCTGGGATTCCAATCACAGATAAGAAATGTAATAATTCTGTTATTAGAAAAGTAATTGATCCTGTCTCAACCCCAATATGTAAACATCGATGGACTTTGATGAATACAAAACTCTGGAACAGGATCTTTCTGCTACCTCATTGTGAATAAGATAAAAGAAGTTTTATTCAAAATTGTTCATAGATATTACCCGTCAAAAGCAAACATCTGTATTTTTTTTCCAAATGTCTCTGACATCTGTACTTTCTGTGGATGTAAGGGAGAAACTAATGGACATGTTTTTGTTGATTGCTTTCATGTAACTTTTGTTCCATTTACAAAGACACATTTCCAGAAAGTTACAAAAAAATGTTTCTTTAAGCAAATATGAAATACTTCTTATTGTTACTAACCCTCATTTATCATCCAATGAAAAATACATAATTAACTTAGTCATTATTTTAGCAAAATATTATTTACATAAAATGATTTTTCAGAAAAGTATCCCCTCCTTCTATAATTTCAGAATTACAGACCTTATGAAATATTGGAACAGCATTGAAAAATTAAAAAAGAACAATAAACTAACAAAGACCATCAACTTATTTCATCATTTCAACTTAGACACAGCAGACCCCTAAGTGTTATGTTTCTACTAAGTGTTATGTTTCTAAGTTATATATGTTTTCATCAGTTTTTTTGTTTATTTCTTGTTTTTTTGTTTAATAGTTTCCTAATGTTGCATGTATGTTATTGCAATTGTAAACAACTGTAAAATGTGATCCATGGATATATTGAATGTATTTTCTGAATTTATTGACAACAAGTTAATAAAACCGGTTTAAAAAAAAGTTGGGCGGATTTGCTCGTTTCTGACACCAGCCCCCAGCGGATGAGGGTGGAACTGCAATTTATTTCACTTCCGGGTTTGACTCCATTCAGAGCTGCATTGTGGGGGCCTGATTAAAACGTGTAATATCTCAGAAACCGTTGCAGGACAAACGTCATTTTCACCTGCACAAATCAGCACAAACGATGCACTAACCGAGCAGTCTATTTGCCTCCACTTTTGAAGCTGACGGGGGGTCAGCTTCACAGAGCTGGATTATGGTTCCTGTGTGACCGTGTACACTTCTGCTGAGAGGCCACGTTCAGGTAAACAGTGTCGCACGAGTGTTTGTTTTGTTTCCTTCGGTAATCTGGACCGTTCTGCTCGCGCCGGATCAAAGCATCATGTCGCCGGCGGCCTTTCACACTCCGCTAGCCTCCATCATGGAGGTCCTGGCCAACACGGCGGTGGCGGAGATCTGCGAGGTTGTGGACAGCGGCTACGCGGTGCTGCAGCTGGAGATCAGCCGCAGCCGCAAAGAGAACGAGGTACTGCGGAGGAAACTGCGGCTCATGGAGCTGCGAGCCACCCGTACGGCTGCCCTGAGAGCCGCCACTGCTAACGGCAGCGGTGCCGCGCTGCTGCAGGCGAGCGGCCGCCCGCGCATTCATCTGCTCGGCGGCTACGAACCGAGGAGGACCACGGCACCGACAAGTAACCATTCTGTGTTAAATTTACCCCCAAACAACCATAAAATTACCATAACAAAACAAAACGATTTAAAATAACACCAAAGTGGCCAAAATCAATTCTACTTTTAATCATTTGATTTTTTTTCACAAAGACAACAAAATGTTTGGTGTGTTTGCTTACCCTTCCATCTGTAGGAAATCTGAGTACTCTGCACGTTACTATGCATTTATCACAGGAAATGAAAGCTGGCACATATTAATAAAAATAAACAAATTATCATTTGACTAATAGGCCACAATGGTGACTCAGAGGGTTTCCCCACATATTTAATGAATCTAGCAGTTCAAGTCTAGTTACGATTAAATAAAAGTACGTCCAGCCTAACGCTCAAGATTTAGAAATCTGTACAAGATTTTTACTTTATATGAGCAAGATTAAGAAGTGAGATTGAGTCACCTTTTAGGGTACATAAATGAAACCATCGTTCTGAACACAAACTAATCTATTTTTGATTTTTAAGACACTGGAACAGGACTGTCCCAGTCATCCAAACAGGAGATGTCTTGTGAGAGAGACCCTAGTCCTCGTCTGAGAGACCCCAGTCCTCGTCTGAGAGACCCCAGTCCTCGTCTGAGGGACCCTAGTCCTCGTCTGAGGGACCCCAGTCCTCGTCTGAGGGACCCCAGTCCTCGTCTGAGGGACCCTAGTCCACTGTCAGGCTCAGGACAGGAAACCACACAGCAGATGGTGATGAGAAGAATAGAAAGTGTTGACCTCCTGTGGTTGGTTATTAATGATCTCCTCTGGTTTCAGGTAGCTGCAGGTGAGACCAGCTCTGTGATCAAAGTGGAGGACGACAAGGACGAGTCCTGGTCTCAGATGGAACCAGACAGTAACGTTCTGCTGATTAAACACAGATTACACTGTAAAGGCCTGGAGCTGTTTAGAGACAGTTGGATGTTTTTCTGTTTGTAGGGAGTTTCTGTCCGGCTGTTGGTGGACGGTCAGCGGAAAGAGAAGCTTCGTCCTCTCTTATCAAACAGGAAGCAGCAGACAATGAGGACGATGGTGGTGTATCTTGGACAAGCGGGGAAGTCAGCTCCACCTCCACCCAACATGCTCTGAGCACCAACCAGAGACCAGAAACCAGCTCTTACGACTCCCTGATGTTTGAGCTTCACCAATCCTCCCACTCTTCCCAGAATCCTTCTGAATCCGGCTGCTCATCGGGTCAGACTTCGAGTGAGAACGTTTCGGTCGACTCGGGTAGTAGCTTCAGTTTCAGCTGCAGTGAGGCGAGTCTGTCTGCAGCCAAGCCGCCTGCAGCTTCTCACAGCCAGCAGCAGAGGGCGCCACAGAGAGACTCTGCAGGAGTTCAGAGGGCTTTTGTCCACAGGGACGTCTGGCGGCTGCAGAACCAGGTCGTGGGGAAGACGTTCGTCTGTAACTGCTGCGGAAAAACTCTGGCCTGTCTCAAGAACCTGAAGACCCACATGAGGGTCCACACGGGCGAGAAACCGTTCGTCTGTGCGCTCTGCGGCAAACGCTTCTCCGACTCCAGCAACCTGAAACGCCACCAGAGTGTCCACACCGGAGAGAAACGCTATGGCTGCGTCCACTGTGGGAAACGCTTCGCTCAGTCGGGATCGCTGAAGGTCCACATGAGTGTCCACAAGGACTGCAAACAGTTCGGATGTTCGTTCTGTGGAAAAACGTTTACATCCGGAGGACATCTGAGGAGACACATCACGGCGCACTCCGAGGAGAAACGATTTGCCGCCGTTTCACCGTAACGCATCGACACAACTTTGGCTCATTGCTGGAGTTTAAGAGGCTGAATGATTCAGCGGGGAAACGATCTGAGGGAAACGGATCCAAACCTTCAACCAATAACAGGAGGGTCACGCGGCTGGGAAGGAAAAAGAATAAAGTCCTGATCAAAGTCCTAAACCCTCACCATCAGGCATGAACATTTCATGCTGATATCTCCAGGCAGGCTCAGGAAGCAGCGGTTCCCTCTGGAGGTCTGACTTTTATTCTGATGAGAATTAAAACGCTTTTCTCTCCACTTCAGATCTGAAATGTAAAATTTAAAAATGCCACCACTAGTTTAGAGACATTTCTCCATGTCTTCTGGTGTTATTGGCACCAAATGTTCAGAAATAAAACTGATTTCTTGTTTTTCACTTTAGGAAACTGGCTTGTTTTTCATGTTATTTTATAATAAATCAGCTGTTTTACATCTTCTAGAGTTGAACCTGCAACTTTTCCTGTTTCTCCAAGAAAATTATACCAAATATGACTTTTATTCTGAAACATTTCTGCACTTCAGTTTCATCTGATCATTTTAAAAACTTATTTGGGGGAAAAACACAAATTAGACAAATCATGTTCCAAGTTTTCATGTGAGGATCAGAAACTCGCCGATATTAAATAAACATATCAACACCAAAACATCACTGAAAATGTGTCAAACAAGAAAAACTAAAATGTGGTTTCATTTATTTAAAAATATTTAATAGTGAACAGTCAGAAATAAAAACGTCTGACAAAAAGCAGATTTCTAATAAAATCCCAGAACAGAGGCATCTAGTGGCCAAAACTAATTATTCCTTTTTTTTAATTCAAAGTTAATCCTTAGAAACAGACTACAATAAACTGTTTAAATAATTGATTTGATGCTATATAATTAAACTTAACTGAATTGAGTTGAAACATTTAGTTTGCTTAAACCACTCATCCCTACTCAACCTAGCCTCTGTCAGTGCGCCCCAGGGCAGCTGTGGCTACATCGTAGCTCATACCCACCAGTGTGTGAATGTGTGTGTGAATGGATGAATGATACACTGTAGTGTAAAGCACTTTGGAGTCCTTACTCTGAGAGGCGCTATACAAGTGCGGGTCATTTATCATTCAAACAAAAAAAATTATAAATAATAAAAATAAGTGCACAACAATAAAAGCTGTCAAAACAAATTACTTAAACGGTAAGATGTTAAATGCTTCCCACAGATCTACAACTTTAAAACGTTGGAAGACTAGAAAATCCACCGATTTATGAAATAAAAATCAAGATTTTTGTTATTTTTACCTTTAAATGTATTGAGCTGCACTGACTAATTCTGGCCACCAGGGGGAGCAGTGAATGAACATTTAGTCATTTATGGTCTCAAACTTTATCATAAAAACAGGTTTTGATCTGATTTCAGTAACATAAACAACAGAAAGCTACATTTAACAACAATAATTTGATCATTAATAAACATTAGTACATGCAGCTTTTAACACATAAAAGTAAATTATGCATGATTAATATATTACGTTTTATATTGGCACTTTGAAGGAAAACTTCTTTTGAACCCTTCATGCTACAAATCTGATGAGGAATCAATACCCAAACTTCACAGAATTATATTTATGTGCCATTATGATTTATTTAGTTCATTTAAATTAACTTTGATTTTATTTATTTTTCCTGCAGATTCAGACAGTCTGGAGCATAAAGAGTTAAAAGTGTTCTCTGCCTTTTTTATCATAAATGCTTTACTTTTCCATCTCGTCTTGTTGTGGTTCAACTTTATAAAACCTCGTTTTTATTTTCATGGTTCTGGTTCATTTAAAGCGTTCACAGCATCATCATCATCATCATCACCAGAAGCTCATCTCCACTTTAGTTGTGAATTTTCCCAAATCCACAAACATTCTCACAATCTGAGGTTTAATTAATTTTCTTCCATTTTCTGGAATTATTGCTCTTAAAATATTACCTTAAATATAAAATCAAAAATATGCTGATGCTAATTTTGTGCCCTTCGTCTTTTTCAAAATAAAAGCCTAAAGCAGGGAAAACCTGCACAGAATAAACTAAAATTTACTGAGAAAAAAAAAACAAAAAAAGAGCCTCGGTTTTTAGACAAATCTGCTGAATTAATATTTTAATTTTTCTCAGATTTCCTGCTGATTTTATTTAATTAAACCCTGTTTCTGCAGCATTTTTGGCCTCTCATTAACCTATAGTATTAATATTTTTAAGGAAATCCCAATTTAAAGGCACGACATAATAAAGTTAAACCACCAACAAGCAAACTGCATTTTTATTTGTTTGGCTAGTTTCATTAATCATTTTCTTCTCTACATTATTTAGTCTGAAGAAGGTGGAAAAAGATTGTTTTATTTATAATTTATGACCTGCAGATAATTTTATATACATTTTAAATTAGTTGGTGTGGAGAAAACAGGTCCAATCTGTGGCTCCGCCCACCAACGACAATTTTCTAAATAAAACCCAAGTTGGTGCAACTTTACCTAAAAATAAAACTCCAGCTAAAACTCTTTTATCTCCCGGAGGTTTTTATTATTTTGACAGAAATCTGGGTCAGATATGTTTTCCTTTAGAACCTGAATTTGTTTTCCAGACTTGAAAAATCTGGTCACTTTGGAGAGTTTTAAAAAGGCAGAGTTCAACCACTGACGAGTAGGAACACATGTTTCACTCCGATGTGAATCGTTTCCACCTGCTTTACTCTAAACTACAGTAACTGGTGTCACAGCGCTCCTGAGCTCCTTCAGCATTTTAAAAACATCAGTTTATAAAAGTCCACATGATGCTGGTGAGTCGATGATTCTGTTTCCTGGTTCTGATGACTTAATTTCCTGTCATCCATGATTTTTAGGTTTCAGCAGATTTTTATTTAAACTGATTTTGGGCTTTAAATGCATCCAGAGCTCATAATATTTTTACATTTTAAGTGCAAAAAAAATCGATCACACAACAGGAAGTGAAATCATAATTCTTAGATGATTCCCACCAAACCTCTTATTCATAGTCATTTGTTTTCTTTGATCTAAAGCGTCCGACGCTCTTTTTACTCATTTCTGGATGTGATGTCCTGAATCAGAAACAGGAAAAAGGTGAATTAGATTTTGTTTTATTTTCAGCAGATGAAACAGGAAGTAGTTCAGACTCACCTCCGTCTTCGCCCTCCTCCACTCCCCCATTGGACCCGACTTTGTCACGACTGAAAGATCAAAATCAACAAACATTTTAACAAAAGAAACTAGAAATTTTTATTTTTTTAAATACAACAAGCTGGTTTATTACCTCTATCCACCTTTTTAATAGGGGTGTAACGGTACGCTAAAATCGTATTCGGTTCGGTTCAGTGTCTCGAAGAGCTCTGGTCGATTTTTGGTATATTATTATTATTTATTTAATATCTAAAGCGGCTCCTATAGTGAGAAGAACCAGATGTCATCTCAGGCTGCTGATCTAGCATGATGTCACCTCACACCGCCCAGTTTTTTCTTTAAAACTCTCCGTGCTGTATTTTCATTGTAGGAGGAAAACTTTACATCAATTGTCCCAGAGGTAGAGTTCAGCAGACGTGTTTGTTTAAATCTTAGCCGCTGAGCCTGCGCACTGTGAGAGAAGAGAGGGAGGGGTGAAGTGATGCTCCGTTCAGCGTCTCTACAGGCTCCAGCAACATCTCCATTCAGAGTCTATACAGGCTCCAGTAGCAGCTCCGTTCAGAGTCTCTACAGCACATATGTCAGACTCAAGGCCCGCGGGCCAGATGCGGCCCGCGGAGCATTTTTATGTGGCCCGCGAGATAAATATCAAAAATATATTAAAACTGGCCCGCTGGCCGATTTTACCGCAAAGACTTCAACTCCCATGATGCTTTGCGGCGTCAGCGCGGAGCCGACGCGCCCCCTCCTTTGTGTTTTCCCCAGCGCCTGCTGCCGGTGTCTGCAGCTCCGCTGTCTCGGACAAACTACACTCCTCTCACTCAGCGCCGAGTTCACTCAACTATTTTCTGACGTTGACGCCCAGAAACTGAGATTCTAGCCGCTCAGTAATGTGTTCACGACTGAAAGAGAAAGTTTTCCAACTAACGTCCAGACAGAGCTGATATAACTCCAGCGAGCAGCGACACGCTCAAACCAGCACAACTCTGTGGATGCTGTTGTTGTGTTTCCTCCCCGACACACAACAACGTGGTCAAGCTGCTCAGACATGTTCATCAGCACAAACCTATGTGAGTACCTGTTGTCATCTAATGTTGTCATTATTATGATGAAGATGAACAAAACAACAGGAGTCTCCTCCTCAGCTCAGATCAACCCCATGATGCAGGTATCTGGCTGGAACAGGTGAGCATCACAGTAAACCAGTGGAACAAACTGAGCTTTAAATATGTTGGTTTTATGCTCTTTTTCTGCTCCAAAACATGAAAGTTAACAGGTGAGATGTTGCATTTTCATTTAAGATAAAATGATATTTTTATTTTGTTGTTGGCCCGTGAGAAAAGATTTAACCTACAGTAAACAGGAAGTGGAAAGGCTGCAGATAGATGAATAGAATAGAAAATCCCTTTATTGTTCCTCAGTGGGGAAAGCTAGACGTCACAGCAGCGATGACACGTATTACAGGAGAATAAAAAATAAGAAAAATGAATAATCAAGAAAACATAAATCCTGAATATATTTTAAAAATGCTGATTATACCACAAGTAATGAATACCACTGATGCCTTTTATTTAAAACTGACTTGCTCGTGTGTAATTTGGTTATTCCACATTCAGTGTTAATGCAGAAATAAGTTTGTTTCCAAATTTAAAGGTTCAAAATTGCATATATGTTGATAAAGAAAATGTGCAAATTTGCCGTCACTTTTTCAAAAAATATTAAGTTTGGCCCTCGACTCCGTCCCCGAGTTTCATTTCGGCCCCGTGTGAGTTTGAGTTTGACACCCCTGCTCTACAGGCTCCAGTAGCAGCGACAGCCAGCTGGTTTGATCTGATCTAAAAGGCGTTGATTAGATTTTGCAGATCATGTTTTTTAAATGGAGATCAGGAGCGTGCAGCCATCATGCGTCACTCAATACAGCTTCTTGTGTGTGTAAACTCGCCTAGGAACTTTTATCCGCTGCACTTAAATCACGTAATTAAAAATTCATTATTTAACGGAAAAAAATAAACCGAAACGGTACGCAAGTGGACCGAACCGAACAGGCAGACCCCACCCCCACCCCCGTGAACGGTTACACCACCAATTGTTGAACATTTATCTAAAGTCTGACTTCAGAAGTCTGGCAGAAACTCACTCATGAACGCGGAGATGGCGATGAACACGGTGGAGGCCACCGTCGTGCTCCACCACAGACACCTGCGGGGACAGGAAAACAGATCTGATTCAGGGTCAGACTTTTAGAGCCTCCAGAACCATTTTTAATGACAGTCGGAGGTTTTCTGTCCTTCCTGAGCCCAAAATTAACTTCTGACTCTTACCCTGAGTAAAGCGAGGTGAGGATGAAGATGATGAAGATGAGGAAGAGGAGCGCCTTCATCGTTACACCTGTAAAAACAAAAATAGATTCAATTATAAAAGTGGTTCTTATGTTAACAGGAAGAGATGTGAGGGTCCCATTGGGCCGGCCTGCTGAAGCAGAACCTGCAGCTCACCTGTGGGTTCAGCTGTCGTCTGACAGCAGCAGGTGGTGCTGTAGAAAGGTGAAGGAGGCGGGACTTCGGAGAGTTCACCCAGTGTCTGGGTGAACTGCTCCTTTGATTGACAGATCTCAGAGCAAATGTCCTCCTGGACGAGCATCTGTGGGGGCGGGGCTTCTTTGCCAGGAGGGGGTGTGGCTTCAGTGGGATCTGAAACAGGAAAAATAAACATTTCCTGTTGAGATAAATAAAACAAAAGCCATGGATCCAGGAGACCTGGTTCTGGTTCTGGATCTGGTTCCGGTCTCACCGTAGGTGAAGCTGCAGCCGTCGTCCAGCTCGGTGCCATTCAGTCCGAACCACAAAGACTCATTCAGCAGAGATGGGCAGTCCTTGCTGCTCTGGGCCCAGTCCACATCTCGGTCCTGATCCGAGTCCAGGTCATGGTTCTGATTCTGCTTTGTCCCAAACACGCCCCTTAAGACATTCTGGTCCAACCACGACTGGCAGGTCTCCGTCACATCACTCAGCAGCCGAACGAGAGAGCTGCGAGGCCGTCGTCTGCGTCGGAAAACTCTGAGAGCAGAAATGGTAAATGGCCTGTATTTGATATAGCGCCTTCTAGAGTCCTGGAACCCCCCAAGGCGCTTTACAACACAATCAGTCATTCACCCATTCACACACACACATTCACACACTGGTGGTGATGAGCTACGATGTAGCCACAGCTGCCCTGGGGCGCACTGACAGAGGCAAGGCTGCCGATCACTGGCACCACCGGTCCCTCCGACCACCACCAGCAGGCAATGTGGGTTAAGTGTCATGCCCAAGGACACAACGACAGCGACAGACTGAGCAGGACTCGAACCTGCAACCTTCCGATTACGGGGCGAGCATTTAACTCCTGTGCCACCATCGCCCCAGATGGTGAGAAAGACGAGTCGACTGTATCATTACCAAGTATACCATCAGTAACGGGTCAGTACCGCCCACATCAGTAACACCGGCCCAGTCATTACATCATGTTGGATCAATAATAAAACTTTCATCAAGCTTTTGAAGGTGAGCTTTTTTCACCAGAACCTCATTCACGAGGAGATGGGAGGTCCAAACGGAGAACCAAGCAGAGGGAATTGATGGCAGGACTCGTTTAAAGGGACAAAAAACCTAAGACTGAAATCAAACCAAGAGGGAAACCGCCAAAGAACCAAAGGTTCTGCTCAGTTTTATGGGACTTTTCTTAGCGCCTCATACATGTTGATTAGAGCCCTCCAAGGGCCTAAAATCTGAGCCCGTGTCCGGCCAGAGGGGGTGGAGCCCCAGCCCGACCCGGGCCTGAGCCCGACTTTTTTTTAACCAACTAAATGAAAACAAAGTGCGTCAATCCTGACCAATGTGTTAAAAGACGTGCAGGATCCGATCAATTTGTTTTTCCCTCATTTACCGTCACGGAGATAACGGCGCACTGGCTCTGGTGTTGATCAAGTTAAATTTTATCTCTTTCCAACAATTTTCACAAGAAAACAAAACAGCCAAACGCAGGGCTTGTGTTGACCGGACAGTTCCCGTATTTCACAGTTTATTTTGACGGAGAAAGAATAGAAAGAATTACCCCGACGCATGCAGACGAACTGACATTTTATTCGTTACGCACATCGCAGATGTAGCTAAATCACCCAAGAAAAGATTCCCATCTGAACATCTGAGCTGGGACCTGCTCAGCGCAGCTCGCTGTCAGCGCATATGTGCACAGCGAGCTGAAGTTGTGGAGATTGGCTGCTTGGAGTGCATCGCAGAACCAGAGCGCATGCGGGAAGGTTCCTCCCACTGAAGCGAGTGTTTTCCAAACCCTGTCTCTCAGAGAGACTTGTCACTTAGAAAATGTTCCCTGATTATGAAACTTGGGCTGAACAGTGCTTGTTCCTGTCTCCAATGTGCAACACATCCAGGAGCCGTCTGAGGAGAAGCCCAGAATCTCACATCCTCTTCAGCTCATATAAGCGCATATGATTACGCACAAGCGTGACCCAACCCGGTCTCACAGTAAGACTGGGTTGGACCTGTTCAGGTTTACGCAGACAATCTTTACATAGAATTGACTTACAGATATAACATTAATTCAGTAAAATACAAAGCATTTTATTTAAACACCCATTCATTATTTTACAAGCACAGAGAGCCGCATCAGATTCAGATTAGCGGGAAGATTCCTCCGACTGAATTCAGTCGGAGGAATCTTCCCGCATGCGCTCTGGTTCTGCGACGGGCTCCAAGCCCCTCTCCACATCTTCAGCTCGCTGTGTACCTTATGTAGTACACACTGACAGCGAGCTGTGCTGAGCAGTGTCCAGCTCTGATGTTCAGATGGGAATCTTTTCTTGAGTGATTTAGCTACATCTTCGAAGTGCGTAGAATAAAATGTCAGTTCGTCTGCATGCGTCGGGGTAATTCTTTCTATTCTTTCTCCGTCAAAATAAACGGTCAAATACGGGAACTGTCCGGTCAGCACAGCACAAGCCCTGCTTTTAACTGTTCTGTTTTCTTGTGAAAATAGATGAGGTTAAACTTGATTAACACCAGAGCGAGGCGCACTGCACCGTTATCTCCGTCACTGTAAATGAGGGAAAAACAAACTGATCGGATCCTTTTCTGACCTTCCCCACCTACAAAGTTTAATTACAACAATCAAACGTGACAGAGCCTGGATTTGTATTCTGAACAGTCTAAACATGTTTTAAAAAGAAACGTATGGCAAAAGGGGCACCTGCTCAGTAAAACCACCAACAGGGTGAAAAATATCAAAATATTGTAGGCAGAGACGGGCTACAACTTCTGGATCCATTTTATATAAATAGTTTTATTGATCATCTTTTTGTGAAAGATAACTTTGACAGAGACGAGCGACCGGTACCGGCTGCTGTCACCTGTTGTGAGCAGCGCTCTGCTGTCTGAGGGTAGGCCCCGCCCACAACGCTGTTGTGGCTCCCAGTGTTTTCTTTACTGTGGGAAACGGGTAATAATGGCTCTTTGATGGGAACAGGTTGCCGACCCCTGGTTTAAGTGTTTCAATTTTTTTTTATGAATTCGATTAAAAATAAAGACGCCCGGCCCGGCCCGTGTCCGAGGTAATTACACAGTCGTTGGCCCGAAGCCCGGCCGTCGGGCCGGGCCGACCCGAGGGCCTAGGGCTTCAGTGCAGGGCTCTAATGTTGATGTTCAGGAACACAATGGTATCCTAGCAACCATGCTCAATGACATCACACAAAGCCCCCAAAGAGCTGCAATCACTCAAGTGGAAATTACAGCTTTTAAACCTGCCAGACATGTGCAGAAAGACTCGCTCTGATTGGCTGTTGTGGGAGGCTGAACTCACCCCTGTGAGAGGTAGGTAGGTAGGTGTGTGTGTGTGTGTGTGTGTGTGTGTGTGTGTGTGTGTGTGTGTGTGTGTGTGTGTGTGTGTGTCTGTGTGTGTGTGTGTGTGTGTGTGTGTGTGTGTGTGTGTTATGTAATTCAGTAGGACCAGTTCTCACTTGTGTGCTGTTTTTCTGGCGTTTTCTTCCAGCTGTGAATCAGCTGACACTCTTAACTCATTCACTGCCAAGCCCTTCGCTGCCAGAGTTTTTACTGTTTAAAGAGTCACAGAACGTTGCGCGCTACGATGATGTCAACGCCAAAACTACTAAAACAAAGAGGAGACTCACCTCTTACATCAGGAAGAATCCACGCGTTTCAAGCTTTATCCGTTCTTTCATAAACCGTTGTTGAATTGTGATCGGCAGAAGCTTTTCCGGTTCGCGCCTAACTTTATTTTTACAGCAGCATTCAAAACAATCTCCTCACATAGATTTTCTGCTTCCTGATCATGTGTCATGTGACATGTGCAGATGAAGATAGGCTTTACAGCTGAGGTGGTTGTTCTCACGGTGCGGGGGCTCGTTCCGATGCCCACACAGTAAAACAATGCAAATGACGACTTTGGTCGTCACTGGCAGTGAATGAGTTAAAGTTGCTCCACGTTAATCAACAGGTGTGGATCAATCCGCAGCAGAAAACGCTCACACGTAACAAGTCTCACCTGACCAGGTTCTCCTTGTAGGTCATGTTGCTTTTGCAGGCCAACAGAGACACGTTTCCATCTTCGTCCATTGAGAAGCTGTCGTCTGTGACGGTGTAGTACCCGTTAGTGAGGAGGCGTGGCGAGCGGCGGCAGCAGCAGGGACTCCCTGCATCCAGAGAGGAGTAACAGACGTATGAGGAGTTGGGGGAGAGGAGGGAGACGTCCAGGCTGCAGGGAGGAAAAAACAACCAGTTTTTAATTCAAATTTAATTCAACTCAATTCAAAGATACTTTATTAATCCCAGAGGGAAATTAAAGTTTCAGTACACACAATTCTGATATCAGACATACATACATAGGCATAGACACATGACAAGAATTGGTGACTGTGGTCATTCGCAACCCGAGTCGTGCCACCTTAATAGACATCAGAGGGTTAACATGAGGATTGAGTCAGGTGGAGGAAAAAAAGGCACTTCAGAGTTACCCTCCACAGGGAGGGCAGCTTTGCTATGCAAAAAACACCTCAGACAGAAATGCAACAGACTTCAGACATCACACAACATAAGTGTCCACTAGGTGGGGAGGTAGGGTTGGGGACTGTCCACACATCAGTGCATGCAGCCACGATAAGCAGCGCTCATCACCTCTGTTTGAACAGGGGGAGGAGGTCGTTGGGTCTTAGAGAACAAAGTGAATTCTGGAACGATTCAACAACCTTCAGTCACAGTCCCGCCCAGGCTGGGATAGGGAGACAGAGTTGCCATGGCGACGGCAGCATTCCACATTTCTTCTGAGGGAGGAGTATTCGCTTAAGCCTCACAGACTCAAGGGCACCAGATTCAGAAAATAAATTGTTCTGGGGACAGAAAGTTCCGTTGGTCCTCAACCCCTCTTAATCCAACAATGGCATAATTTAATCTATCCCAATCCGTGCGGATCCGTCAACTCCCTCCTTGATGGAATCCACTTTCTGTGCCAGAGTCTGAATCTCAGCCAAAGTTCCAAGCTTACGACTCATCTCGACAACTATATGAGTTTGTGCGTTCACAGTGCGGTGCAATCCATCTCTGAGCTCCGGGATTGAGCCAATATTCCTTGACAGCTCGTTAATTTTCCGGTAAGCCAGGTAACCTCCCAGGCCAAAGAGCAGGAAACCTGACACCAACACCACGAATATCCAGACATCTTCAGAATCCTCTACAGACAGCTGAGACAGGCAGACCAAGTTCCACTGTTTCCAGGAGTCCATGATGTGCCCAACTGGCTCTGTCCCAGAGGGGTATCCGGGAGCTCCTTCTCCCGTTCTCATTGTTGAAAAAATTTAGTCAATCGCGTTGAGAGACCAACTGACCACGTCCATTTTAGTAATTTCAGTTTCCAGAAAAAATGCAGAAGCGCAGTACACCCAGAGACAGACAAAGAGCCTTGGGATAAGATAGGGAGGAGGAGGAAAAAAGTGTCTGTACTCTCCAAGAGCCGGAAGAAGAATACATTTATTTAATAGATTTTAACTTTGTGAAATTCAGCTGACGGAAGGGTCAAAGGTCGAATCCTGAGCAGTAAATAAACAAAAACAAAGACGATTCCTATATTTTCTGACTTGTATTTCCCTACAGCCCTGATTGTGGTTTATATTTTATGGTCATGTTTCTGAGTCTCTCACCTCTCGCAGAAATGGTTCCTCAGCCTTCGTTTTATCGGAGAACCTGAGGAACCAGAGAAGGTTTGTGAGTCACGATCAAAAGCAAACAGGTTTCTAAAAACAGCCAGCTGTTATCAGCGCCAACATTCCTGACACAAGCAGAGGAACAAATAATAAACCAGGCAGGAGCATGTCGAAGGGATTTCAAGTCACACCTGGGAGGATTTTTAACGAGTCGTTTATGAAGAACTGATTTTAAAACTAACTTTTCTAAACATGAACCAACTTCTAAACTAGAATAATAAACATGCATTTTCAGACTAAACTGAAACAAAAAAAAGTGTCACAATAAGCTTTGCTTCTGTCAGCATCACACACCAATCTCGCACACGTTAAAAACATAGACCATTTCTCACATTCTTGTTTCTAACGAGTTGCCGACAGCCACAGCTGCTGCTGACATCATCACCAGGTCTTTGTTTACTTCTCTCTGCCTAAATGTCTCTGGATTATTTCCAGCAGTAAATCTGAAACTCCAGGTGGATCCCTCCTGCTGTGCGGCGTCATAAAACTGCAGGAAGGGTCTGGACCTTAACGTTTAGTGGTCTGGACTTTAAAGCTTGGTGGTGGCAGCATCATGATCCGGGCTGCTTCACAAAACAAACATCTGTTAAAACTTGTCTATGGTCTGGCAGCTCAAACGGGTCTCAAACCGTCCCTAAGCCATGTGGAACCTGAACCGAGACCTCACTGGGCCCGTTTGGACCTCTTTTTGTGTTCATTGTGATGTTGGTGTAGATTCATGTGACGTACTTGTAACGGCTCCAGAGAAGAACAGAGACATGTTTGTCCTCGGCGAGTCGATCTGTGAAAGACACCAGAGAGCCGACACCCACCCAGCGGTGAGACGGGAGAACAAACGTCTGATATAGAAAATAAATAAACAAACCACAATGTAAGCAGATGCTTTCTCCAACATTAGAAACACAGATTTCTAATCTAGAGCTTCAGTGTGTGTAGGGATGGGTACCTTTGACATTTGAATCGATCCGGTACTAATTCCCGGTACCTACGAATCGATACCGGTACTTAACGGTACCGATTTTCGATACTTTTGAGTGTTTAATATTTTTAATTCTCTTTTATAATTAAAAATATATTTTTCTCAATAAATAACCATATTTGATAAATATCACGATAAATAACATACAACTGTTTGTATTTTAACATCGTCCTTGTAGTTTTATAAGTTGATAATTAAACTGAAGCAAACATCTTTACTGTGAACTAAATTTACTGTGTATCTTCATTCCTTTTACTGTCCTTTTTCATTTGATTTTTCCTACTGGGAAGTTAGAATTTCCGAGGAGAAAGCGAATGCACCATTAGCTGATAACAACGGTGGCAATGGAAGCTAATTTATCAAGCTAACGTTATCTTAAACAGTTTATTTAACTGCTGGAGCAGATTAAAACGATGATGCCTCACACTTAAATTGTTGTCACTGGTTTCATCTTCACCCAATCACCCGTCGCATTTAGTAAAGTGAAGCCAAACTTTAGAGCGTGTTCATGTTCTTCTAGTCGGAATTCGGAGTTCCGAGGAGAAAGCGAACGCACCATTAGTGAAACGGAAGCTAACATATCAAGCTAACATTATCTTAAACATTTTATTTACCTACCGGAGCAGATTAAGATGAGGATGTCTCACTTAGATCGTTGTCGCTGGTTTCATCATCACCCAGTTACCCATCACATTTAGTGAAGTGGACCCAAGATTTAGCGTGCGTTCTTTCTACCATGCTGGTCTGTTTACAACTCGCTCGCAGCGACCGACGACATAACGCTCTTGCGCATGCGCAGCTGTCTAGTCAAGTTCTCGTTATGAAGGACGGGTACCGAAACGAGGCACCGTTTCAAATGAAGTGAATCGGTGCTCGGTCGGTACTGTGAAATTCGGTCCGTAACTTAAAAAGTACAGAATTCGGTACCCATCCCTAAGTGTGTGTGTGCGTGTGCGTGTGCGTGTGTGTGTGTGTGTGTGTGTGTGTGTGTGTGTGTGTGTGTGTGTGTGTGTGTGTGTGTGTGTGTGTGTGTGTGTGTGTGTGTGTGTGTGTGTGTGTTCTGGTGTTAAAGGAGAAGTAACTTGACAAAGGAAGTTAAGGTTTGTGGTCAGCTGATATGAAATCGTTTTAATCCGTCGCTTGAAGGCAGGATTATGTTTGTTCCTTATCAGATTATCTCCTGAATTACAGGATGGGCTTTAGTGAAACTCTCAGTGATGTCATTGGTCAAACGTCAACCACCCGTTTTTGGAGCCAATCAAATTCAAGATGGCTGCCACAGATAACTGACATCAGCAAACAGAAAACATGGCTCTGAATCAGCTGGCTGTAGCTGAGAGTTGATAACAACCAATCATCTGAGCTGTAATCTGAGATTGAGTTTATTTTACAGATTAAATCAAACATATTAATTACTCATAGTTTTATGTTACTCTGAAAAACGATGGGTGATGTGTGCTCCTCTAAGGGTTGCTGAACCTCTTGGATTAGGATGAGATTTTCTGTGTTTATGTCTGACAGCATAAGGCTGTTTAGGAAACATGAAGTCTCTTTTTACAACTCAAATGAGTTATTCACAAAAACTTATCCACAATTTAAGCTGTCTTCATGTTTCTGCTTTAAAGATAACTGAGGGTGACGGATCTGAAAATCTAAATGAAAGCTTTTTGTTCAGTTCCGGCTCAGTTAATCCTGCTGATCTGATCGGATGAGTTTCCTCTCCTGTCTGAAACTCCAGGAATTAACGGGAATCTGGAAGTTAAAATAAATCTAATTCAAAGTGAGTTGACCAAACAGAGCCTACTATTTAAAGTTTTACCTTGAGGAGTGATGCTTCGGGCTTTCAGCGGCAGTTCTCTCACATCCTGCAGGAACGACGCTGCAGCCTGGGAACGGAGTGCAGAAGAAAGAAAAACAAGAGAAAAACAGGCGGCTGTGACTCTGAGCTCACGTTTCCTGTTAACTCTTTGTTAGCATGAGGAGGAACTCAGAGGGTTAGCACCGACCAACTCTCTTCATCACAGGAACTCTGATTTACTGCAGCTAAACAATAAATCCGATGATAGATAAATAAAACTCTGAAAACTTCAACATGAATCTCAGACAAATGTTTGATACAGATTTATCCCAAAGTTCTGAAATAAATAGACAAATGTACTCCTCCTAACAGAAAAGCTTCATCCATCATCAGAGCAACAGTTACAGACAGAAGTACGGTAGATAAAAACAGGAAAATAAGGAGCTAGTTCAGAGGAGCCACTCAGCAGACCTCACTCTGACTGAAACAGAACACGGAGTGGGTCAGAGATGAAGGCAGAGGCTCCTCATCCTCCTCATTGATAACACATCTGTTTCACTTGAGTCTGATTAGAGGAACGTTCTGCCCCTCAGACGTGTGTTTCTGCGTTAAAGCTTAAATAATTCTCATCAGACAGGAGAGCAGAGTTTAGATCCTTCAGGGCTGATGGGCTAATCTTGGATGGTCCCTGGTTCAGCACACCTGAGCAGGTGATTAACAGGCTTCTGCAGAGCCTCATGAACTTCTGAACAGCTGATTCAACCACTGAATCAAGAGTGTTGGAGCAAAGGAACAACAACAACCTTTTTAAAGCTTTAAACCAGCCCTGATTCTGGGGTAATCCTTGCATGGTTAATTTATGGGAGATATAAGTGTCACTGAAAATTTATGTTATTTCTTAACCTGTGTGTGTGTGTGTGTGTGTGCGTGTGCGTGTGTGTGTGTGTGTGCGCGTGCGTGCGTGCGTGCGCGCGATAACAGTCTCTTCCATCCTGTGCTTCCCAGCATGCCTTGCAGCAGCAGCGCTGCTGATGTTGGAGGAAAATGCGTAGCAGGAAACTGAAATGGACCAAACCATCAGCTGGTCCACATCAAGCTGCCGAGTCTGATTTTATATAGAAAAACGTTTATTTATTGTTGTTGTTGTTTTTTTAATACAAAATCCAGGTTTTACAGCAAACTATACTTTTTATTTATTATCTGTAATTATTAGGTTGTTTTTCTGTTGAAAGAATGAAAACTACGTTTTCAAACCCTTTTTGCTGATGAAACCATTTTGCTAATTTTATGTTTATTGTTATTTTAACAAATTCCATTTTAAAGTTTGTAAATGTTTTTCTTTTTTTAAACATTTGCCAATACCCAAGAGTAAATATATCTGCTTTTACTTTGATATTTTCTGCTATACCTACACTATTAAATGTGGAATTGTTTATAAAAACCAAAATACTGGATAAAAGTACGAAATGTCAACAAAGAAAGTAAAAAATTGTGAAACTAAGCAAATTTATTCAGGAAAAATATTCTCGACTGTTTTCTGGATTTGAGCTAATTTAAAGTGTTGAAGTTGTTTGATGTAACTTTATTTTATGGTTTCAGCTGAAGGAAACAAAACAAAGAGAATAACGGTTGAGATGAACTTACAGGTTTGGTTTCCTCCAAGATTCTCCACTGGAAGTTAAGAAAAATCTTCTTTAAGTTTACAGAACTGTTAATTCCCGCCTCCTTTCACGTCTTCTTATTTTTTTAAAGTCTTTTTCTTGTTTTTGTTGAATAAAATCGAGCAGAAGTCCGCAGTTGTCTCGAGCCTCGCCTACAGGAAACACTGGAAGTGGTCAAACTAGAAAACACAAGATGCCGGTCATGGATTTCAAAGTAAAAGCATCAACGTGTATTCAGCTTCTTTCCGGAGTATTTCTCTTATCCAATGGCACCATCTAGTGGCTGACCAGCTGTGACAGCAGTGTCTGTCACCTCAGGGACATGGTCTTCTGGTAATGTTTGTTTTCTGTGTTCTGTCCAGGATGACTGATTGACGTGCGCACAATCAGTCTTCTGTTTATGAATGCATGTGTTAATGTTGTACTTCTATTTGAGTTACCAGTGACTTGGAGTTGCCCATGGAGTCTCACACCTGCAGCTCATCTCCTCAGGAAGCCTAATCAGCACTCCTGGGATCTACCTACTCCCAAGGGAGGGGAGATTCATGTTTATGCTTGTGTTTGATTTAATGTAGATATTTTCTGTTATGGATAGGGAGTTTGTAATTATGATTTAGTTATTTGAGTTACCTGAATTGATTAGACTGGTTAGTTTGTGTGTGTGTGTGAGGATGTGTGTGTTAATTGTATGTTAATTGTTCCCCTCTTGTATGTAGAGTGGTCTGATCAGCCACTATTTAAGTTGAACCTGGTGTTTCTGAAATGGGATAGTGTGTCTTGTGCTGGCGTCACGCTGACTAATTTACATTGATTAGGTTAAGTTCATGTTAATTTTGAAGCAAAATGGAGTTTTCAGACTAATCGGCAGTGCTTCTCTGCCTGGTTTGTGCAAGTCCCTGACACAAGCATATCACACAAAACCGCTGTTCCTGTTTTTTTTAAGATGGCGACTTCACATTTCTGTTTATAAATGTGCTTCTGTAGAGTCATTTCGGCTGGGGCAAAATGGCGGAGCGGGTGCATCGCAAATTCTGAATGCTGTCTGTTTGTCCCAGTTATTCAACAACTTGACCATCCAGTTGTCTTCACCAGATATTTCAAGCCTTATGTCATTGTGGAATTCATTTCTAAGAAAGAATTAAGCCATGAAACCATCTTCAAGCTGTGACACGGCCGCTACCCACCACAACTACGCAGCAAGGATGGAAACATCGGCTGAGAGCCTCAAAAGGAAAGACCCCTTCTCTCCGGCAAAGAACCAACCAACCTCCAAAATGAAGGACCAGACTACAGATGAAGGTACGAAGGCCATTCTTGAAGCGATAAAAAAGCTCACAGATAAAGTGGAGAACCTCCGCACGCAAATAAGTCACAACTCAAATATGCTTGCTAGCATGGCTAAAGAGGTGGAGTTTAACGCAACGGAGATCAAAGCCTGTAAAACACGGCTACAAACCATGGAGCGAGAGGTATCAGTCAAAAAAAAGGATAACGCCATGCTAATGGAAAGAGTCCTGGAGTTAGAGAGGTACAAATGCTGATGGAACCTCAGAGTCAAAGGATTATAGGAACGTGAAGGAGAAGACGTGCGAGAAATGATTGCAAACTTGCTGAAAAAGATCTCCCCTGAATGGGCTCCAAACATCAACCACATTGTGGATTCTGCTCATCAGCTAGGGAGAAGAGGGAACAGGACCAGGCATGTCCTCGTCCAGTTCTCACTAATGATGCACCATGATGCGCTGTGGAAGATGACCAACGATTCCTCCATTTGCAAAGAACTGGGGATCGGATTTATTGAAGACCTCTGCAAAGCTGACAGGGAGGCTCGGATGGCGCTGTGGCCTAACAACAAGCACGGGCGGCTGGAAAACAGGTGTATTACAGAGGAGGAGACGGTTACATTGATGGTCACAAAATTACGGTCTAAAGACTACAAAGATTTAAATAAGGTCTGGATGGTCCAATAATACAAGATGTTGAAGGGACTTGACCCTCACATGTCCTTTTGTGCCTTTTTGAGCCTTATGTTCTTTCTTTGCTGACTTTTCCAAAAGTCGTTTGAAGTTATTATTGTTCTCTAGCAGTTGCTAGTTAGTTTTCAAAATCAATGTTAATCTATTTTGCTAGCAAGAAAGCGAACATTATTTTATTACAAGAAACACACTCACAACAGGAGGATGAAAAATTCTGGGTTAATCAATGGAGGGATAAAATCCTTTTTGCCCATGGCTCCACCAAATCAGCGGGGATGGCCATTCTATTTTGTAACTCTCCTGGGAAATTAGTGGCTTCTAAATCTAGTATCAATGGTCACTGGCTAATCTGTGTTTTAGATATTGATGACCAGTATTGTATTGTTAATATCTATGGCTTTAACAACCCAGCTCAAGATAAACTGTTACTTACAGAACTTTCTAATAATATCACTAATCTAAAACTATACCCAAGTGCAAATATTATGGTTGGAGGAGATTTTAACATGGTTTATGATGAGCATTTGGATAGATACCCTTCTAAGTGCCAGAATAGTTCTCATAATTCCACCCATGGACGTAATTTTCACTTTAGAAGTGTGTGTGTGTGTGGGGGGGGGGGGGGGGGGCACACGGGGTGGAGTGGGGGGGGGGGTGTATCATTACAGTATGCTCTAATGGGAAACAGGCTTCAACACAAACTGTTGTTTTCCGCTTGGTCCTAGAGCTCAACCAGTGTCAATTTAATATAGCGTAATATTGTTTTTGGATGGTAAAAAGTGCAGGGGTCAAAACTTGATTTTGGAAAAAGTGGGCCCCCCCCCCCCCCCCACACACACACACACACACACACACACAAAAATGACGTCCATGCTTCATTCCTTTTGCCGTCCTTTTTCTTTGATTTTTCCTACTGGGAAGTTAGAATTTCCGAGGAGAAAGCGAACGCACCATTAGCTGATAATGGTGGCAATGGAAGCTAATTTATTAAGCTAACGTTATTTTAAAAAGTTTAATTAGCTGCTGGAGCAGATTAAAACGATGATGCCTCACACTTAGATTGTTGTCACTGGTTTCTTCTTCACCCAATCACCCGTTGCATTTAGTAAAGTGAAGCCAAACTTCAGAGTGCATTCATGTTCTTCCAGTCGGAAATCGGAGTTCCGAGGAGAAAGCGAACGCACCATTAGTGGAAAGGAAGCTAACATATCAAGCTTATCTTAAACATTTTATTTACCGACCGGAGCAGATTAAGATGAGGATGTCTCACTTAGATCGTTGTCGCTGGTTTCATCACCCAGTTACCCATCACATTTAGTGAAGTGGACCCAAGATTTAGCGTGCATTCTTTCTACCATGCTGCTCTGTTTACAACTGGTCGCAGGGACCGACGACATAACGCTCTTGCGCATGCGCAGCTGTCTAGGCAAGTTCTCGTTATGAAGGACGGGTACAGAAACGAGGCACCGTTTCAAAAGACGTGAATCGGTGCTCAGTCGGTACTGTGGAATTCGGTCGGTACCTTAAAAAGTACCGAATTCGGTACCCATCGCGAACAGAAGCACTTTATTATTATTATTATTTTATTTTAACTTTTTTATTTACAAACAACATGGCATAAATTCCTTTGTTTGACATTCCCAAGGATCAGGTGCGAAGAATAACAAAAGAGACTTTGCATGGAAAACAAAGAATATTTGTGAAAGAAACGAACAGACAAAAAAAAAGACAAAGAGTTAGGGCTTTGTTTTCTTATCATACTTTTCAAAGAGATTAACCCTTTGATGCATAATGGTCACTACAGTGGACAGGTACTTAAAATTGTTATTTATTTATTTTTGCTATTAAGCACAGCTGTTGAAGACTTTATTGCATTTGAACCCCTCCATCTGTACTTCAGTAAGTCAAGCCAACACTTTTCATGTTCAGATTGCACACTGTCCACTGAGGTGGACATGTAATAAATTATTTGTAAATTAAATTTTACAAAAAATATGTAAATATGAAATTTGTTTCATTCACACCTAAAGATGAATGAAAAATATTGTTTAAAAAATCATGGTTAACGATTTCATAATTCATGCATCAAAGGGTTAAGGAGTTTCATTGCATGTTTACTTTTCTTAAAGTTAAGGGCTTTGGAGAAAGAAAGACACTCGTTATGAAATGCATAGCATCTAGGCTTCACTTTTCCATATCTACATTTGTGAATATAAAATTTGGCTACAATGATTGTTATTTACCAGAAAGTCCCATTCAGTGTTATCTAATGGCTCTGTAAATGACATCGTTCTCAGAAAAGGGTTCAATAGGCATCTTAGCCACTCATGGATATCATTCCAGAGAGCTTCAGAGTAAATACATTGAAAAAATAAGTGAACCGAGGTTTCTATATACACAACACACACTTGTTTGCATCAAAACCACATCTGTCGTAAGAATTCCCCAGATGGGTACACATAATTGAAAACTCTAAAATGGATTTCTTTGGCTTTTGGAGTTATAGGAAATTTGAGGTATTTAGAACGTAATGAGTATATAATATCTATAGAGAAAATTTGTTTAATGGAATTTCTGAAAGGCAGTGAAGGGTGTGAAATGTCGTCAAGCATTTTTCTAATTGTTTTATTAGGAATTTTAACACTCTTGAAATCGAAGTTTCCAACTACTAGATGAGGAAGAGTAGGGGAGACTGAATGAGAGTTCGAAACAATTTCTTGAATTAGATTTAATGTAGGAATAGGGATGGCTCTTATTATGGAAGCGAATGAATTCTGATCAACTGTAATATTATGTTTATAACAGAAATTCTCTCGGGTCATCACACGCCCATCTTTATCAGTCAAATGAATTAGGGACCAAATACCTTTGTCCATCCAGTCCTTTTTATATAATGACTTATTTTTAATTGTAATTTATATATTGTTCCAAATCGACGTGTTGTGTGGAGTGAAATTATGGTTGTATAAAAGTTTCCAATATAAAAGGACTTGCTGATGGAACCGGGATAATTTAATCGGAAGTTTTTTAATATTGAAATCGCATTTTAACAAAAGGTCAATGCCTCCAAACCTTTTGAAGATTTCCCTGGGGATATGATACCAGAAACTTTTATTATTAAAGAAGGATTTTAACCAGTTAATTTTCAGTGTTCCATTAATGATCTCAAAGTCAATAGCTTGTAGTCCACCATCTTTATATTCTTTGGTCATTTCTGCTCTCTTAATATAGTGCATTTTTTTCTCCAAATAGTCAAAGTTAATTTGGTTGATCTTTTTAATGGAATGGAATGGTTAATCTTTTTTTTAGGAATGGTCAGTGAATATGCAGGGTAGATACATCTAGATATGCTCTCCATTTTAGTGAGAAAGACACACCCAAGTAAACTGATGTCTCTCAACAGCCAGGAGTTCAGTTTAGTTTGACACTCTGCTATTGTTCTCCATATACTGTATTCAAATTTTCCCTTTCAGTTGGGTCTTTGGATATATGCATTCCTAAGTATTTTACCGTTGACCTAATAGGAATGTTATATGCTTCTATTAAATCACTTTGATGAACTGGCATTAACTCACATTTTTTTAAAATTAAGATTAAGTCTGGAGGCCTGGGAGAACACATTAAGAGCTTCTATTATCTTAGGAGTCTCTGTTAGATGTTTCATAAAATAGTTGTGTCCTCTGCAAGTTGGCTAATGATTACATCCCATAACATTCAAGAGAGTAATATCTGAATTTTTAATAAAGATAGAAAGCATTTCTGTAGCAATTATAAAGAGAAAGGGAGATATAGGGCACCCTTGTTTGACTCCTCTTTTAATATCAAATCGTGGTGACGTTCCATTTGGTAATAAAATAGCGCTATTTGCATTATCATACAGAGACTCAATGGTGGCACAGAATTTGTTTCTAAAGCCTAACTGCTTTAAACGTTGAAAGATAAAGGGGTGTTCAATAGAATCAAAGGCTTTATAAAAGTCGAGAAAAAAAATAAAACCGTCATCATCAATTAAGTGACTATAGTCTAGGAGATCCATCACCAAACGAATGTTATTGTGAATAGATCTACCTTTCATAAAGCCAGATTGGTAGTCACTTATAATTGAGTTTAATTTGCTTTTTAATATATTGGCATAGGCTAAGGTTACAATTTTATAATCAGTAATGTTATGGGTCTAAGGTTACCTATGATTTTTGAGTCTTTACCGGGTTTTGGTATTAAAGTAATTAAGCCTTGTTTCATAGTGGGAGGAAAATATCCGGGGGATTTATTCAAGGCTAAGTTTTTTTACCGCGCTGTCTAGTTCAAGCATAGTAATATCAGCATCGCAAAACTCTGCAAAATCATCATCTATACTCGGGACAAGGTTATTAATATGGTCGAAGAAAAAGTTTGAATCAGTCTCAGAGAAGGCAGCAGAGTATAATTTGCTGCAGAAAGAGGTCAATTCCTTTGTAATTAAAGTTGAATCAGTACATATTTGGTTTTGAATTAATAAAGTTTTAATTGAATTTCTTTCTTGCCTTCTTCTTTCTAATTGACAAAAATAAGCTGCCCCCCCCCTCCCCCCCAATCCATTTAGCTCTGGATCTTATGTAGGCTCCTTCTGCTTTTTTTATTTACATTTCATCAAGCTTACCTTGTAGAGTTAATCATTTTTGTCTGTCACTTTCATTTGGTGATGCCTTACAATACGTGTTAATTTCTTTAATTAGATTAAGTTCTGTTAGTGTATTGTTTTTGTGAAATTATTTCCCAAAATGGATGGAGAATTCTCGAAATTTGAATTTTAGAAACTCCCATTTTGACACATAAGACCTAGCGTTATCAGCCATCACTTCAGTGATTAGAGATTTAATACCATCGCAGTATGTCTGAGAAATTAGTAATGCAGAATTGAATTTCCAGTAGCCTTTATTTCTGTGCCCACCACCAGGAGGTGCAAATTTCAACTTTATAACTGAGTGATCAGACAGAGGAGCTGCTGACATGCAGCAGTCTGGGACATGAGATATAACTGAAGCAGAAATTAACCAGAAGTCAATTCTAGATTTTAGGGTATTACTCAGTTTGAACCAGGAGTATTGTTTGAAATTAGGATTTGCCAGGCGCCAGGGATCTACTAAGTTCTGATTGCCACAGAAATGAGAAGGTGGAATCATGGACGTAATTTTTTTTTGGGGGGGGGGGGAACATGTCCCCCCACTTTTTCCAAAGTCATGTTTTGACCCCTGCACTTTTTACCATCCAAAAACAATATTACTTTATATTAAATTGACACTGGTTGAGCTCTAGGACCAAGCAGAAAACGACCATTTGTGTTGAAGCCTGTTTCCCATTAGAACATACTGTAAAGATCCCCCCCCCCCCCCCCCCCCCCCCCCGTGTCCCCCCACTTCTAAAGTGATAGGTCTTGAGCTTGAGGTGGCTGCCTCCGCATGGTTTAGTGCCCGATATGTATCACAGTATAACAGTTTTGTACGGTAAAATCTGACGACCGGAAAAAGGGCACTTTGGACAAAAGGGGCAGGTGCTCAAACTTTTCTCTTACTGGTATTTGAACATTTTCATTTCTTAATTTTTTTGTCTGTTTTTCAAATTTCTCAACTGCTTCACCAATAAATCATTCAGGCATAAACCAGTATGTTGATGCAAAATAACAGACCGCTACACAAGGAATCATCACAGCTTTGGTCTCTATTATCAGCAACCTTTGACCAATTTCTTAATCTGAATCCATTAAAAAACATCAAACTGAACACCATTTGACAGAGATCATTTTAGCGCCAACATGTTTCTTTAACGGTTAATTTACAAAAGTTACTAACTTCAATCTAGAAAAAGTGTTTTAAAGAACAATAATAGCCTACTTAATCTCTGGGGTTTTCCATGTTTCAGTTATAAATACATAAGTTTTCACTGAGAGCTGCATCTCAACCATCAACACACACACACACACACACACACACGTACATATATATGTATATGTGACACACCAATGGGTAGTCCCATTAGAAACTGTAATGGTTGAAATGAGGATAAGTGACACTGCTGGTCTTTCTTTTGGTTGCAATTACACCAGGCCACAGGGTGGCGCCTTGAATAGTGAGGCAGAGTAGCAGGGTTAGGGGTCCCCTTCTCCAATTCAGCGGGAACAAGGCAAAGATTAACAGCACCTGTCGTCTCTGTCTCATCTTTTTCCTGTTTTACAGGAACATTTAATCTTGTCAACAGGCCCAACTCCTGGGGGTTAAATATACATATACATATATATATGTATATACTGTATATGTGTTTAAGTAGTTAGCAGCAGTGTTCAAGACGATGGCCCCCTCCATGATGAGGCCACAACGGCTCAGCAGAACATCATTGTAGCTTCTTCTGAGGAGACAAACACTTAAGAGAAAAAAATAAAGTTAACAGCTGAAATAGGAGGAAATAGTACAGTTAAAGAGCAGATTGTAGAAGAAAGTAGTTGAGTGTGGAAAGTGGTCAATGTGTCCTCCAGCAGTCTAAGCCTATAGCAGCATAACTACAGAGATAACTCTGGATAACCTAGCCTTTTCCATACTGATTGGCTTAATGAACTGACCTGTAATGGAATGTTTACTATGTGAAGTGCCTTGAGATGACTCTTGTCATGATTTGGCGCTTTATAAATAAACTTGAATTGAACACACACACACACACACACACACACACACACACACACACACACAGATGATTATCCTTTACCCTAGATGGGATCAAGATATACTGGATGAGGGATTAGGATTGAATTCGATAAAATATGCTTTTATTTTAAAGTGGGAGCAATGTTTTCCGGTACGCGCCTACATCACCTGATTCTAGAATTTAGATGTCGTCATATTTCTTCAGCCATCTCTAATGACAAAAGAAAATGAACTCATTATCACAAAAGTTTTAAGTTTCGATGTAAAAGTCTTTCTGGCTGGAGTGACGATGACTTCTAGTGGACATATTTCACAAATTCTACTCAGACTCAACACAAATTATTATTGGTATAAAACTTAGTTTATATTTATTAAAACAACAAAAGGTAAATATAAAAGTAGAATAAATAAGAGTTAATATCAGGTAATGTTCAATTTTTAAATGTTTTCATGACTCATCGAAGCCCAGCACCTATAAAACAGCTCTGTTGGAGGAGTAAACGTTTTTACACTCTGTAAGGACTCATGAGACATCAGGTCCGGTAAAAAGTTCAGAACATCGTGGTGTGTTCAGGTGTCGGCCGGGGCCCGTTGTGTGGGCGTGGCTAAGCAAACAGCCCAGCAGCGGGCTCGGGGATGGTGGTGGCGTGCATGTCTCGTGTCATGTTGGACTTCTCTTTGAGGTTAGCCTGCTGCAGCTTGTGCTGGATTAGGCTGATCCTCACATCCATCTGATCCACCTCCTGCTTCAGCTTGGTCAGGCTCTGTTTCACCTTTACCACCGAAGCTGAGAGGAAACACAGACACAGGAAGTCAGACCAGAACGACGTGAGCTCAGAACAGAACCAGAGCCGTTTGCTCCTGCTTCACCTCGATCGGACATGCTGCTGCCTTTACTCTCCATCTCCTGCTTCACCTTCTCCAGCTCCTCACTGATCTAAAACAGGAAAAACACAAACTACGGTTATTGGCTCAAACACATCAGTGGGTTTTTGGTGAACCAGGTGACATAGCCCCGCCCCCTTTGCAGCTCAGGTACATTTCACAGGATAAACATGGTTCGGAGATTAGTTGGGCCACAGGAAGTTGGACTCTGTGACTGAACAAGTGTTCTGGTATCCTTAATGTTTTTTTTTTTTCTTTTTACACAATCCCAGTTTTAGTTTGATCCTTGGAGATTATTTCGATAAAACACTAAATTGATAGATGATGATGATGTCACTTTTTGACCTGTCTGAAACTTTCTAATCTAAAACAAACTCACTCTCCTTGTGTACACAAGTTCCTGTTTATCATAACACTCGTGGTTTGCTAGTTTCCAGGTTATTTTAATTAACCGTTTCTATTTCATCCCGAGTTCGTCAGTCGCTTCCACAGCAGTAAGAATTTAAAGTATCTCAGCGATAGTAATCTGACTGAAGTGTTTGGTGATGCATTCACTGACCTCAGCAAGAACTCTGGTTCTCTCCATCACTCCCCCGCTGGCCTGCTGGTAATGATCTTTGGCCTGATGAAAGAAACATTGATTTAGCAAGTAAATTAAAACTTTTATTTTGGAGGTGTGACTTCCTCCTTTGGGAGGTTACCTCACTCAGTTGGGCCTGAGCGCTGCGATACTCCTGGATCAAAAGCTCCAGCTGGTTGTTGATGTACTTCTCTCTGCTGCTCACCTTCTCCAGAGTCTTTCCGATGTCCTCCTGCAGCTTGTCCAGGTAGCTCTGCAGGGAGAGAGGACTCCTGATGTTAAATTCATCTTTCAGTCTAAAATCGTCTTTTTGTATGTGGATTATGACAGGATCAGGGTTCATCTTGGGTTTATTTTTCTGTTGTTGATGAAAGACAGGAGAAATGTGAACCCAGCAGGAACATGGATGCCTCTGCTGTATGAATGATCCAGGTCAGTGAATGCACCTTAGCCTCTGTGAGTGAAGACTGGATCCCGTCTCTATGCTGATGCATCTGGCCCAGGTGGATCCTCCAGTCCTACAGAACATCAGGAACAACATCAGCGTTCTCTCACAATCTGCTTTTACAAACTCGTTCGTCGGTTTTATCAGACCGTCTTTGGGACATTTTCATGTCCAGGAACAGGTGTTTCCTTACCTTAAAGGAAATTAAACTTTTATTTTCTAAACAACATCGACTTTGGACCACTTGGTAGAGATGTTTAGTCACTTTGTTTTACTGAAGCACTCAACTTTTTTGGTTTTAGAAAACTTATAAACTAAAATTATTAAATCTAAAAATACGTGAGTTTAAATTAAACATATTCTTAATAATATATTTTAGAATATTATTTAAACATTTAATTTACCTGAAAAAAGTAAACTTTTCCAGGTGTAGATGTTTAAAGGGTTTAAAGCTTCTGAAGCAATTAAGATAAACTTTAGGGGAACATTTTCTGTTACATCTGAGCTCTCAGGAGGAACTCTGGCTTCATCTCTTACAAAAGCATCAAGAGAAACATTATGCTTTTATTAACTCAGTTTTTAATAATTGAGCTGTTTCATGAAAGAGTTTGAAAACTTGATGGTTTCACCTAACTCTGATTTCCTTTTCTAAACCTATCCAGACCTGGACGACACTAAAAACAAACCCTTGACTGTTTAAGGAACCGTCTCTTGTCAGACTGAACTGTGGTCTGTTCTGAAGAAAACTTAGGATCACAAACACAAAACCGCTACGCTGCAGCACAGACGAGCGTGCACCTTGTTGTCGGTCCTGATGGTGACCTTGAGCAGCGGCAGGACCCTCTCCACCTCCAGGTTCCATTCCGCTGCCTCCATCGTAGATTCCAGAATCTCATCGGGTTTGGAGGACGGTTCTGCTTCCTGTCAGACAACAGAACCGGTTCCAGTGAGAAGGAAGCTGGGTTTCCAAACTCCAAACATTCCTCTAAATAAATCTCACAGTGTGAGTTGTTCTCAGCTTCAGAGCCTCTAGGTCCATCATGGTTTCCTCATCCTCGTCAGCTTCCTCCTGAGGAACAAAACCATTCAGATTTACACTTTTTAAAATGATGAAACGGTTTTCTGTCAAAATCAGCAGCAACTCTTCCTGGCTCCCAAACAAGATGCTGCAGAAACATTTCATTTACTTTTCACGCCGTTTGTAAAGCATGACACCACTACGCTCTCTGATGTTTCAACAGAAATGTTTTTAACTTCAGTTCATTTTGGTCGGAGTAAAAACAAACTCGTTTACAGGTAAATAAGCCAGAAACACGTACAATCGTCTCCACTTCTACTTTGCTGAATGTGAGCTCGGCGTCGTCCTCCATCACAGACTCTTCTTCTGTGTTTTCTGTTGGGTAGCTGGGCCTAAAAACCGAAAGACAGCTGTAAATCCTCTCTCTCTCTCTCAGTAGGAGCGTGCAGAGGTGTCAAAAAGCAGGTTTCTTCTGTTTTTGCTCTGATCAACAAACGTCACCATCAAAGACGACTGAAAAGCAGTTTCACATCATCATACTGAAACTTGTTTGATCGCTGAAACATTTTTGCGAATATCAAAACAAAAACAGACAAAATCTGTGAGAATCCGTTTTAATGTGTGAACTGGGATTGAGACAAAACCAAAAAGGTTTCCTGACAGAAAAAGACTAGAGGGATAAACGTGCATTAATGGGTTTTATGTGACAGTAATAGATGTTTTGACCCAGTAATGAGATAAAGGAGGACCCGTTGTCGTACCTCCTGAATGTGAAGCCTCTCTTCTTAAGCGCTTCTTCAGCCAGACGATCCAACACAAAGCAGACGTGCTCGCCTGAACCCGACTTGAGTTTGGAGGGAGGGAAGTCCACTTTTACACCCTGATGGAGACATGGATAAATACCCTGAAACCCCCGAGCTTTAATAGCAGCTGGTGTCAGGAGTTACGGAGAAAAAAAATACAAAAAATTTATTGTCGCACAAACTATTCATTTTATTTATTTAGCTCTTGTTTTTGATAATTTCACAAAAATAAAACGTCTGATTCATGTAGCAGACGCAAAATTATTCAAGGGGAGAGAAAAGTTTGTTGTGACGTACGAAAGCCCTGAGTTCTGTCAGGATGTTGGACACGGTGGCGTTGGGTTCGTCGTACTCCTGAGGCTCGGCGAACGCTCTACCCGCTATGTTGATGAGCCATGCAGCCATGATGGTGAACATGTAGAACTGCTCACCAGAGTTGGACGCCAAGAATGGACTGGAGACAAAGTAATGTCTGAGGGGAATTAAGGACACAAAAATGCTATTTTTTATCTTTCTTTATAAATGTATATTTTGTAAGATTTCTAGAGTCAAAAACAATCTTTTACCCCGAACGTTCTGAATATAACAAAAACTCTAGAGAAAATGAACTAAAACCTGATGTACACTTTCATGGGAATTCTATTAGTTGAGAGCTGCATGGAGGCCTTGTAGTGAAAAGGTGACAGGTTTGAATCCCATCTGACTTTTCTGTGTGGAGTTGGCATGCTCTCCCCATGCATGTGTGAGTTTTCTCCCACAGACTAAAAACATACATGTCAGGTTAACAGAGACACTCAATTGCCCCTACGTGTGAGGGAGACGGGTTGTGTGATAGACTGGAGACAAGTCCAGGGTGTCCCTCGCGCCCTGTGACCCTACTGAGGATGAAGGGGTTTAGATGAGTGAGTGATACTAAGATATCAGATAATAATTAGAGGAGGACGGGTTTGAGCTAGCAGCAGGAAACTGGAAGTCTGCAGAAAACAAATAAATAATGTGTGTGTTTATGTGGCTTCCCACTGCTAAATAAATTATGTCCACAAAATCAAACTAAACGCATAGACATGAATACAAAAACAGTGTCTGAGTGTTGGACATGGTGTCTCCAACAGGAAGGACACATTTAAAGCTTCTAGGAAATGTAAAAAGACACCAAAACACAGAAATGTTTGTTTTTATAAGTTAAAACTTGTGGAAAAGCTATAAACAGAATTTAAACAGAACAGGTTCAGTAGATCTATAAAATTATTGTCCATCTTGTGTTTCTGCCTTCCTAATCTGCTGTATTCTGGTCACTTTTCAAGTTTAACACAGAAAAGTCAGATTAAATAGTTTATAAATTAAACCTAAACTGTGCTCAGACCCAGATTAGGAATCCAGTCTCTTCTCACCTGGACAGACTCTTCATGTTGTGTTTGGACAGAAGTTCCTCCTCGTAGTTCAGGACCTTTAACTTCTCCAGCAGGTTCTCCATCACCACAAACGCCTGGTGGACCGAACCTGGCCCGCGGTCCGCATCCTCTCCTCGTCGAGCCTCCTCCGACATTCCGTGGTATTTCCCCAACGAAACACCTTAAAGGTTAATTTTGCTCAAAACGCGGTCGGTTCGGTCCGATTTTGATGGCTCGCTTCTGATGCTGCGGTTTGTTTCACTTCTTGTCGGTTGTTAGGCAACCGAAGCTAGCCACCTAGCTGTGGAGGAGGATAACCTTAGCCAGTGTGTCTTATTTTCAAGCTAGGTTAGGAAGTATTTAAAAGCCTATTCAACAGCAACAACATTAAAACTAACAGGTTAAGTGACAAACTCAATTCAAGCGTAAAGTATCGCTGTTAAAACGAGCTTCTTCTTCTGGTTTGATTCAGATTTAGCCAAACGACTTCAAGGTGCGTCACCACCACCCAGCGGGCGACACGAGTACTACACGCTTTTGAGCAAAATAAATAAATAAATAAACCATTGCAGGGCTATTCCGATTTCCAGCCTTCCAGCACGTTTTAGTGGTTTCTCTAGTCACCTGTGCAGCAGCTACACCAGGCTCTGCAGAAGCCTGTTAATCACCTGCTGATTGAAAGCAGGTGTGTTAAAACAGGGTTAAACTAAATGTGCTGGATACCAGTACTGGAATTGAAAAGCCCTGCAGTAGGGTGTTTGAATCAGCTTAGTACTACTGTAACTTACCAGTTAAAAAAAGATGAAAGAAAACCACCCGAATCAAATTCCAAATTGTAAAGATTACTAGACTTCATTGATGTATTGAGTCCAGTTCTGCAGAAGGAGCTTGATTGTTGAGCAAACCTATTTTTCATTTGATCCATTTCCAATTTCAAAATAAGCCTATATTGTCTCACTTTGTTTGTTTGGGTTTAGCACAAAAGGTTCCCACAATGGCATTGTTTCTGATTCTATTTCATTCAAGTTCAGCATTACTATGTTGCACAAAAACCTTCTTTTGATTAATTCATTTCCACAACAGCAAAAACAAACCATCACTTACATCAGTCATCAGCAATCCTCTAGTCATTTTCGTCAGAAACCTTTATAAAAAATATTATCCATGTTGTAGCAACTGCAGCTGCTTCTAGAGCAGAACAAACATAATGTTACCTCTTCATTGTGCTACAGTATTAGCTGAAGCTCACCTCCGAGCCAACGCCATCTTCCCCGTGTGACCCTGAACAGGAACATGTAGGTGTAGAAATGATCACCTTACCATGGGGGAGGGGCTTCCGGACCCTGTCAGCTGTGTTGTCTGGGACATCAGACCCTGGTAGGGCCTCCAGGGTCACTGAGCCTCAGAGGTTCAGAAGAGTCCTTCAAAGAACTTAATGTAGGAGGACCAAGAAGCACCAGACACCTCACAGAGAGACACAGTCATGAGAATCTGGATGAGATTTTTGTTTATTTATGACAACAAAACTTAAACCCAATTAAAACACAGAAAAGGCAACACTTTGGGATAATTGTGGTCAACTGAGTCAGTTAGCAGAAGACTTCTAGATGAAATAAAGGGGAGAACATCCTGGACTTTGTGTGATGTAAAGCTACATTCCACCTGTAGATAGCATGCACACTGCTCCTATCTTGGTCAGAAACACTTTCTAACACATGAGAGTAAAAAACCAAGAGGATTAAGCACTTGGGACTGACTTACATCATGAAGGAAAAACACAAACCTGCTGACACAATCCCCCTGTAGGAGCTCTGCTCCCAGTTCGGGACCACAACTGGCCCACTTCATTTTCAGTTTGTTAGTTTGGGTTCAGAGATTGTGTTGGCAGGTCAAAGGTCAGCCTGCTCTTTACTGTAATCAGGACCAATAAGAGCTGCAGACAGAATGAAGACAGATTGGGAAAAGTGGGAATAGTTTGGTTTCTCTTGACTTTTCCAGTTTCAGACCCAGGAGCAGCTAGATCATCACAGAATGTAAAAACTAATAAACTAAATTTAACGAAGTCACAAAGAAAACCTGTTTATCTAACAGAAGTCAGGTCAGAGACTCTTGATGCAGCTCAGCTGAGTTTTCCACAAACGTTTCAGCAGTTTGAAGATAAAAAGCTGTAAAAGGACTCATTCTCGTCGGCTGCTGTTCAGATTGTTGCACCGACAGCTGCAGCTTCAGCATCAGGCTGTCTCATGATCTGTGCTTTCATCTGGACTCGTGTCCACGTTTCGTTCAGCTGGAATTGTAAAGGTGAACTATTTCTTTAACGGCAAAGGTGTATGGGCTTTTATTTTGACAGCATCAGAGCAACCGTAGCTAACTAGGGAGACGCAGCACAGAAGAAGCAAACGTAAATCTATTAGAAGTAAAGACGGAGCAAAGGGTGGACTATTAACTGTTCACGGAGAAGAAGACACAGAAAGTTTGAAGAATACTTCTGTCTAGCTTCAGTTGATAAGGGGAACAAGGTTTGTGACTATAATTCAGAATGTTGTTATGAAAACGGAACGTGTATGGGAACCTATATGATTGTATTAGTCGTGAAAAAGGCTACCAGTGTGATCAGTTATGCATTAGGGTTTAGTTTATGATGAAAATGTTTTATTTATTTATTTTTTGTTTATGCCTAGCTCTCACGTTGGTTGATGATACGGACGGCTCAATAAATCATCATTCACCATCAGTTCCGGTCTTCTCAATATAGACTGAATGCTACAGGAATGTTTGATTTCCCTCAACTTGTTCAAAGTAGGAATGTCTTCCTGGATTTTATGAAGATGTATAGAAAGGAAATATTTTCTCACCTTTGACCTTTTACAGGAGATCTTAGAGGTCAAACATGGAACTGACTCAGATCCTTATTTCTGTCAGAAAATGGTGATGTAAAAACAAAACTATTTAATAAAGTTTCTTCTTTTTAAAATCAGATGATTCACAAAAACAGAAACAAATTTTAACTGATATGACTGAATGAGTGAGTGAAGGAATGAATTAATTAATTAATACATCTTTTTAGAGTTATAACTGATCAGAGAAACAATCAGCTGATCAACTTTTTTTTCCTTTGAAGGAGAAAAAAATCCCAAGAGAGGAAATAATCCCCAAAGAGCCTTTTGTCTGTTTATCATCATCATCATCGTCATCGTCGTCATCATCATTATCTCTCCATCTTTGTTGCCCGGGTGAGTCCTCCACACTCGCGGAGGTCCTTCCTGCTGGCTGCTCCTTCATTAACACTCCAAGAGCGCAGCGCCGTGGCGGCGGTCTGTTGACTTTATTCAAATCGGGTCTTATCTGTAACCTCACAGTCCCCTCTTCAACTCCACTAACTTTTGAGCTAAGCGTCTTTGAACTGGGTCAATCGCCTCCCATGCTGTGCGCACTTATTTACCGTCCTCCACAATATAATAAGGACTTTTTAGATGAATTTGCGGCGTTTCTAGCTCAAATCTTCTGTAAATATGACCGTCTCCTCCTGTTGGGGGATTTTAATATTCATGTCTGTTGTCCCGACAGACCTATGGTGAAGGACTTTTTGGATCTTGTCGATTCGTTTGGCCTGTCGCAACTCGTGAATGGGCCCACGCGTGGCCATGTTCACACACTGGACCTGGTTCTGTCTCATGGGCTGAGTAGCAGTGACTTGGCTATTCTCCCTGCTACTTTCTCTGATCATTCACCAGTTCTGTTTAACCTGGACGTGGCTTCTTCTTCTCGTACTGACCATGTCCACACTCGTCTCTCTCGAGTTATTACTCCCTCTACTGCTGGAGATTTTGTAAATGTTTTTGCTCTGACATCAGCCACCTGCGATTTTACTGATGTTGATAGTTACTTGCATCTTTTTAATTCATCCTGTCTAGCTGCTATGGATTCTGTAGCTCCATTAAAATCCAGACTGACCAAGAATAAGCCTGACCCTTGGCTGAACGAGCGCACTCGTTCAATCAGGCAACACTGCAGAAGACTGGAGCGTAAATGGAGTAAAGACGGGCTTGTGGTCTCCTTTGAAGCCATGAGAGAAGCGTGGTCGCAGTATCAAAAAGCTGTTAGAGGCGCTAGAAATCGTTTCTTTGCAGGGATTGTTTCTGCTAATTCTAATAATCAAGCTGTTTTGTATAAAACCATGAACGCTATGCTCTCACCTGTTAAAACACTATTTCCCTCTGTTTCTGCTGGCTTGTGCAACCAAATCCTTCAGTTTTTTTAGATAAGGTTGATAAAATCAGAGCTCAGATTCCTCCTACTTCCAATGTTCCTGTTACTGTCATTCCCACTCATGATTTATTTCATAGTTTTCAACCCATTTCTCTGTCTTGTCTGGAAAAAGCTATTGCTACCATGAAGCTATCGGGCTCTCCAGATGATGTTGTTCCACCTCGTCTCCTGAAGGAGGTATTTCCGTTGATTGGGCAATATGTGCTGGATATTATTAATGGTAGCTTGACCTCGGCTGTGGTTACTCATGACTTTAAACATGCTGTTGTGCAGCCAATCCTGAAAAAACCTGGTCTGGATCCTGCCAAATTCTCTAATCTCCGTCCAATCTCTAAGTTACCATTTTTATCTAAAGTACTTGAGAAAGTAGTGTACGAACAGTTACTTATACATCTTAATGACCATCAGGTAATGGACATGTTTCAGTCTGGGTTCAGAAAACAGCACGGCACAGAAACTGCTCTTGTTCGGGTGTTTAATGACATCTTTCTGGCATTAGATTCGGGGTTCCATGTGGTTATGGTGCTACTGGATCTATCTGCAGCCTTCGATACGGTTGATCACAACATCTTGATCTCTACACTACGGACTTGGACTGGCATCTCAGGTTCGGCCCTGGACTGGTTTAGGTCTTACTTCCATGACAGGTCCCTTAGGGTCATGCTGGATGATTATTCATCCGAAACACTCTCCCTTCCCTGGGGGGTTCCTCAAGGTTCCATCCTCGGCCCGTTGCTGTTCTGCATTTATATTCTGCCCTTGGGAGCTGTTCTCAAACAGCATGCAGTGTCTTACCATCTATATGCAGATGATTGTCAAATTTATTTTTCACTGAAACCCCAAGACTCCACTAAACCTCTGTTCGATTGTCATCACGAAGTCAAGCAATGGTTGGCTGACAACTTCCTACATCTGAACGACTCCAAAACAGAGGTAATCGTTTTTAGTCCAACTAGTGTTAGAGCAGCCCAGCAACCAGACCTCAACTATCTGTCGCCTAATGTCACTTCTGTTGTTTCCAACCTTGGAATAAGAATAGATTCTGCTCTGAAGATGGATGCTCAGGTCAATAGCACGGTCAGGTCCTGCTTTTACCATCTTAGACGTATTTCAAAATTAAAGTCCATCCTGAGTGTCCGTCTTCTACAATCTGTGATTCATGCATTCATCACTTCTCGGTTGGATTATTCAAACTCCTGTTTGTACGGTATCAGTGAGGCGGCTTTGTCTAGGCTTCAGCTTGTTCAGAATTCTGCAGCAAGGTTCTTGACTGGAGCTGAAAGAAGACACCACATCTCACCTATTCTTAAAACGCTTCACTGGTTGCCCGTTAAATTCAGGATCAATTATAAAATTTTACTTCTCACGTTCAAATCCTTAAACGGTCAAGCTCCTCCCTATCTGTGTGATCTCCTTCATTACTACCACCCTCCTCGAACTCTTAGGTCTGAAGATCAACTCCTCTTAATTATCCCTAAGGCACGTTTGAAGACTCGTGGGGAAAGGGCTTTTTCAGTCTGTGCCCCAAAGTTATGGAACTCATTACCACTGCAGGTTAGGCAAGCTTCCTCTATCGGCGTCTTTAAATCTCGTCTGAAGACCCTCTACTTCACTTACGCATTCGATCCCTAATTCCATAACTCCTTAGCTCATCCATTGTCCCTCCTAGACAATTCAATTTTAATTTTGTGTTTTTATATTCTGGTTTTATTTGCTTTTACTGTTAATAGTCTGTTGTTTAATTTATTTGCTCCTTTTTACATTTTCCATTTACCTGACTATTTTAACTTGTGCTTTCTTGCTTGTTTTTTGTGCAGCGCTTTGTATGGTTGTAATGCCGTGTTGAAAGCACTATATAAATAAAGTGGTATGGTATGGTATGGTATGCTTCCTGAAAGAAGAAGTTGAGTGTCTGTTTTCAGCCTCTGATGCTCAGTTTGTCTCCAACTGAACCTGAAGTGATTTTGGAGGTTTCCTGATCCATGTCCCCAGACCTCCACCCTGCAGACAGCTGCTGAACTGCTGCAGCGCCCTCTGATAGCGTCCTGCAGACATCTTGGAAGCAGAATAAGTTCTTGTGGAGGCTTCAGGGTCCAAAACAGCTCCAGTTAGCTGAGAAAGAAGGAGAAGGACAGAAATCTGGTTTGATGTTGTGGAGCAAAAACCACGAGGATGTTCTCAGACAGACTCCACCTCCTTCTAGGTTTATATGTCAAACGGCAAATAAACAGTCTGATATATTTACTCAGCATGAAAACTTTATTTCAGACGTTTTCAACAGGAAGTTATTTAAAAAGTTTTAAAGAGACATAAAGAACAGAAATGAAGCTTATTGCTCATTAGCCTGTTTAATCTGGACTCTTCATTCATCCACTCTCATCACAGGAGTAAAAACCCAACTAGATGCTTTTTTAGTCTCTTTGTGGAAATGTATTCTATATTTTAATATTGAGACTTTTTAAAGCTTCAGAAGGAACGTTTTAGTTTGCTAACTGTATTCCCATCTGCCTGGAAGTGGAGTTTGGGATGAGAAATTAGAAAATATGACAAGTTCTGCTCTCAGAACTAAACAGCTTCAGATCAGTTCAGGATCAGAGGAACTTCTGGGTTTTCCATCTGATAAATCATTTTATTGGGACAGCAGCACCTCAGTTGTGTCCTTGGGTAAGACACTTAACCCGCCTTGCCTGCTGGTGCTGGTCGGAGGGACCAGCTACATCATAGCTCTTCCACACCAGCGTGTGAACGGATGAATGACTGATTATGCTGTGAAGTGCCTTGGGGGGTTGTAGAACCCTAAGAGTGAGCTATACAAATGCACACCATTTACCATTTATTACTGAGTCTTTACTGAAAGTCGAAGAGTTTTTTTAATTGTAAAAATATTTTATTTTTCTTAGAAACATTGAGAATAAAAGCTAAAAAGAAAGAAAATTCTTAAATCTACTAAAAGTGACTGAGACACAAAATAGTTAAAATTATTTATTTAAAATTTTGCTAAACTGAATTAAAATCACTGAACATTCAAGAGCCTTGGTCTATTTCAGTTTACTAAACTCAGCAGGGATGTTGTAGTAAACACAACTCCAGCGTGCAGCGGCTGAGTGAACGTGGTCTGGACTCTGTGGAGGAGAGTCATGGTGTCAGAGACGCTGTAGAAGGACAGAAGACCTGCTCTGTGGTCCAGATACACTCCTACTCTGGAGGAACCAGGACCTGAGATGGAGGTTCTGATGCTGTTGTGTGAGTAACTGCTTAGGGAACAATATAATGACCAAGATTTGTCATTAAATCCAAATCCACATTTAGTCCCACTTCCTGCTTTGTTGATATTCTTGTGGGAGACTGCTACTTCAACATACCTGCTCCACTCCACCTCCCAGTAACTCCCCACTCAGGACCTGACACCATGAAGTGAATCTGTCTAGATGATCAGGATAAAACTGATCTTTATGCACATCTGTTACCTTTCTGTTCTTCTCTGATGGTAACAAACATCTGTGTGCCGTGTTTGGATCCAGTGTGATTTCATGTGAATATTTCAAGAATCCTGCTCTGCTCGTTGGTTCTGGTTGTGACAGTAGAACGTCCACCTCAGTGATCTTCAGTGAGACGTTTGTCCAGCTGTCCCCCAGGATGTCCTGTAGCTTGTCTCTGAGCTCTGACACAGCTGCTGTCACATCCTCAAAGTATCTGAGAGGACGGATCTTGATGCCGGATGAGTGTGGAGACCCACTGAGTGCTGACACTGAGGGGTAGTTGTGTAGAAACTGGTTGTGATCCTCTGTGTTTGAGAGCTGCTTCAGCTCAGCATCTTTCCTCTTCAGCTCGGTGATCTCCTGCTCCAGCTTCTCCTGAAGCTCTTTGACCCGACTCACTTCAGTTTCCTGCTGGGATCTGATCTGCTGCTTCACATCAGAGCTTCTTTTGTGGATCAGACAGATCAGCTGAGTGAACTTCTCCTCACTGTCCTCCACTGTTTTATCAGCAGAGTGATTGATGGCCTCCACCTCCTGTTGAAGCAGTTTCACATCTTTCTCTCCGTCCTGGATTCCCTGCTGGATTTCTTCTCCTCTCACCTCCAGCTCTCTCTGTCTCTCAGTCCTTTCTACTGCAGCTGAGACTGTGTCGTGGCCTTTATGTTCCTCCACAGGACAGAGATAACAGATACACTTCTGATCAGTACGACAGAACATCTTCATCACCTCATCATGAAGAGAGCAGATGTTCTCCTGGAGGTTCTTGGAGGGCTCCACCAGCTTGTGCTTCTTTAATGGAGCTGAATCATAATGTGGCTGAAGATGTTTCTCACCGTAAGAAGCCGGACAGAACAAACAGGACTTGGTGGCTTTCAGTTTTCTTCCAGAGCAGAAATCACAGGCCACATCTTCAGGTCCAGCCAAGCCCCCACAATGTGGAACAGAAACTGATGCCAATGCGGAAGTTAAATAAATTGCAGTTCCACCCTCATCCGCTGGGGGCTGGTGTCAGAAGCGAGCAAATCCTCATTGACTCCCATGTTAAAAATACCAATTTCAAAGCAGAAATAAACATGTTTACAGCCTGGTACCAGAACCTGTTTTTGTTTAAATGATCTAGTTTACACTCATGACAACTCTGAGGGGGGTGACTTTTTTCTCACTCTTCTGTTTAAATGTATTAAAAGCCTAAAATTCTGTATAATTAATGAGCATCAGACCCACGTGACCACAGAGCTAGCTCCATGGAAAGGCCTCAGCCTGAGCCTCGGCCTGGCCTGGAAACTGTTCCGCCATTTTCAGTCTCTCAACTTAGACCATTAGTTGTAGCGTTTGTGTATTCTTTTTTGGATATTATTTGTGCAATTGTTGGACAAAATGACTTGCTGTGGCATTAATTGCACTAATAGAGCGTCCAAGGAGTCTCCACTTCATTTTTTTCGGTAAGTAAAATTATATTTATGTATTTTAGGTCACTGCCGAGCTGAGCTTAGATTTTAACATGTACTGTTTAACCATGAAATTTAAATGTAATATGGTAAAACCCAGTGCATTCAACATAATGCTGCACTTTAGAAAATGGGTTGAAATATAACATGTTGGTGGAGCTGGGTTCCGACTATCGGCTTGTGGAGATCTTCTCCCCTCCCCGCAGCTCGGCTCATCTCAAGCCCCCACAATGCGGCTCAGAAAATGGTCTCAACCCAAAAGTAGCAAAAATTGCAGTTCCACCCTCATCCGCTGGGGGCTGGTGTCAGAAGCGAGCAAATCCTCATTGACTCCCATGTTAAAAATACCAATTTCACAGCAGAAATAAACATGTTTACAGCCTGGTACCAAAACATGTTTTTGGTTTAAATGATCTAGTTTACACTCATGACAACTCTGAGGGGGGTGAATTTTTTTCTCACTCTTCTGTTTAAGTGCATTAAAAGCCTAAAATTCTGTATAATTAATGAGCATCAGACCCATGTGACCACAGAGCTAGCTCAGTGGAAAGGCCTCAGTAGAGCCTCGGTCTGGCTTGGAAACAGTTTCGGGATTTTGACTCTCTGTGTTTGTGTATTCTGTTTTGGATATTTTTTGTGCAATTGTTGGACAAAATGACTTGCTGTGGCATTAATTGCACTAATAGAGCGTCCAAGGAGTCTCCACTTCATTTTTTTCGGTAAGTTAAATTAAATGTATGTATTTTAGGTCACTGCCACCTTTAAACTAGCTGAGTTTATCAAAGTAGCTAGCTAACTATCTCTTTAACATGTAGCATGTACTGTTTAACTATGAAATTTAGATGTAAATAAAATAATGAATAGGGCATATGTCGATGGGTACAAGGGTAAAACCCAGTGCATTTAACATAAAAATGGGTTGAAATATGATGGAGCTCTTGGAGGGACACTTCTGTGTTCCATTCTTCCACCCGGTTCTCCCCGGTGGTCAGCCCGGTGCATGTCTGACCGATGCGGCGCCTACTAGCTGCTGCGCGGGCTGACGGCTTGTGGAGCTCTCGGACTCGTAGAGAGACCTGACCGCAGAAATACTGCAGCTCAATTCCCTACCTAAATGCAAAGTTTGAGAGATGTGGTTCACTTAGGTCTGCACTTCCTTCGGGCTAATTTGTCAAGTTCACAAAATGTGGAACGGGATGTAAGTTTAGAATCAGCGGCGAATTGGAACATATCTCGAAGCCCTGGCCGATGAAACGGTCAACATGACTATTACTGTCAGGCTAGGAGAAAATTCGGGTTGCTTTTGTGTCAGTCGATTCTGCAACAGATTCTGCGACATATATTAATGTCGATTGCGCATCTCTGTCTGATCGCGGCTTCTGTCTGCTGCGTGGGCTGCCGGCTTGTGGAGCTCTGGGATGGAAACCTTTCCACCCGGTTCTCCCCAGCGGCAGCTCTGCGCATCTCAGATCGCAGCAGCGCTTGTCTGCTGTGCGGCTGCCGGCTTGTGGAGCTCTCGGGAGACCTCTGTGTTCCACCCGGTTTTACCCAGCAGTCAGCCCAGCGTATCTCTGACTCAGAAGCTCTGGTGTTGTGCACAGTTAACTCCGGTTGTAGCTAAGTTGCTACCTCTGTTAGCTTAGCTCCCACCTCCGCGTTAGCTTTGGGTTAGCTTCAGGTTAGCTTGTAGCTAGTTCGACCGGGTGTCGTCAGTTGATCCCAGCCTTACAGCCCCACCCTCAGCTCCTCCTCTCTTCCCTTCTGTGGAATTGTCTGGGCTTGACGGAACCTGTGACACGGTCAAAATGGCGGTGGTGGCCACCTCCCATTTTAGCTCAAAAACTTATTATTGGAGGCTATGGAAACCCATTGTCCAATATTTATATGTCGATGGGTCCAACATAGCAGTGATCAGCAGGAGCTGCTTGGAGTCCAGTCTTCTTCAGATCTTCCATTGTATCAGCTAACATGATGTTTTTCTTTAAAGCAGGCTTCTGCCTGAAGGCCTCACGACATTGAGGGCAGCTGTGGGTTCTTCTCTGATCCTCTCCATCCCAGTGAGCAGTTCATGCAGTAGCTGTGTCCACAGGAAGTAGTCACTGGATCCTTCAGGAGATCCAAACCGATGGAACAGCAGAAGGTTTCTTGGTCCAGCTGATCTCCTGTCTGCTCCATTTCTCCTCTCAGTAACAGCGACTGTGTAAGTTTCACTTCCTCATAACAGAAGCCAGTTTATCGTCTGACCATGAATCATGGGACTGAGTAGACAGAAAAGTGCCTATCAGCTTCTAGCTTCACCACCTGTTGGCTCCTCCCATCTAAAGGGGAGGCACCAGGAAACATGAGGACATTAAACTGATAGACGTTATTAACATCCTCATTAACTGGAACTGAGCTTGAATGAAACAAGATCAAATGTGTTTCTGAACTATCATCATTTTCTCTTCCAGCTCTCTGAAAGTCCTACCTGCTCCTGCAGCTTCAGCCAGCAGGTGAACATAGAACACCTGCAGAGGCGTGATGGAGTCCCAGAGTCCCTCCTCTTTCCTGTGGAGGTGCTGATCTCCTCCAGGGTCTGGTCACCGTAGCTCCAGTTGAGGCTCACTTCAGGGGCCTTCCCTGCAGACCAAACCTCTCTGCTGCTTAGATCTGCAGGAGGATGAGAGCAACTTTAGTGTTTCCTCTAAAACCATCAGAGCTGATCAGATTCATTCAGTAACTGTGAGAAAAATCACAACCTACAGCAATTACTCTGTAATTACATCTGTTATCCAAGCACAACCCCAAAAGCATCACTAGTGTAAAACTCTTTTCAACACATAATTGTTTCAGATCTTCATCTGGACCTACAGCCAATCAGCAGCTGCTGTCGTTGGTAGGGGAACGGCACGTGCCTCACAGGTGCCAGACGGTGAGCCATGGCTCTGCTCAGGTGGCCGGCGTGTCTCAGCGTGCCCACTGTCAGGCTGTACAGGTAAACAGGCTCCACCAGGTGAGACAGCAGAGCCCCCTGGAGACCCACAACACTCCACCTGTCAACACAAACTGTTATTAATTAAAAATGCAAAGCTGTGGCGGTGATGAGGTCATTCTTCAGCTGAGAACAAGAGGGTTTAGAACATTTTTGCTTTATTTATAGTTTTAATTTGAGAAACAAAGAATGCACGAGATCATAATGTCTATTTGAATATTAGTATTTTCTCACTAAGATTAAAAATCTAAAACATTTTCCAAAACAGTAACTTTGTTAAACAGATTTACTGTTTTTGTTGGTTAATTTATTTACATTTTTGTCCTGATCTTCTGTAAATGTCCTCACATCCTGTTTCAAGATTTTAAAAACTCACTTTGCTATTTTATCAGTGCAGGACATGCTGATGGGAGGTTTCCCCGGCAACGCACCATCCGGGCTCTGATTGGCTCTCTGTGCAGAGATGGGCAGTGTTCCCTCACCTCCGTTCACCTTCACTCTGAGACCACAACAGAACCTCCTGCTGGGATCTGACAGAAAGGAGGCAGTCTTTTCCAGACTCAACAACAGGTAAAGGTGTTTTAAACGTGATCAGCTCTAAAGGTGTTTATCTCACATGCTGTCCTTGTTTCGTAGGGACAGTTGAGACGAGCATCTCCACACGGGCACCAGCTGACATACATGTGGAAGAGGACCCCTTCCTGCAACCGGAAACCATCCCTGCAACTTTTATTTGGTATGAAGATGGATTGTTCCTCTCCTTCTGCTGGATGACTTCAGAGGTAAAAAAAAACACAAAATATGGATTCATATGGATATGGATTTTATCTAGAATTACATTTTATATTTATAATTGTGTTTGTATGAAATAAAACCTCCAAATTATCACTCTCCATGTTTACAAGATTTAATGCACAAACATATGGAAACATAACATTAAAATGACCATGTACTACCATAAAAAGTGATGTTTAAAAGCTCAAAAATAAAGTTTAAAAACAAATAATTGATTAAATAAATTCCATCCACCCATCCATTTTCATCCACTTATCCGGAGTTGGGTCGCAGGGGCAGTAGCCTAAGGCGAGAGGCCCAGACTTCCCTCTCCTCAGCCACTTGGGCCAGCTCCTCGGGGGGAATCCCAAGGCGTTCCCTGGCCAGGTGAGAGACATAGTCCCTCCACCGTGTCCTGGGTCTATCTTTAGGCCTCCTCCCGGTTGGACATGCCTGGAAAACCTCACCATGGAGGCATCCTGACCAGATGCCCGAGCCACCTCAACTGGCTCCTCTCGATGTGGAAGAGCAGCAGGTCTACTCCGAGCCCCTCCCGAATGACCGAGCTTCTCACCCTATCTCTAAAGGAGAGCCCAGCCACTCTTCGGAGAAAACTCATTTCGGCCGCTTGTATCCGCGATCTCGTCACTACCCAAAGCTCATGACCATAGGTGAGGGCAGGAACGTAGATCGACTGGTAAATCTAGAGCTTCGCCTTCTGGCTCAGCTCTCTCTTCATCACGACAGACCGGTACAACGCCCGCATCACTGCAGATGCAGCACCAATCCGCCTATCGATCTCATGCTCCAGTTTTCCCTCACTCGTGAACAAGACCCCGAGATACTTAAACTCCTCCACTTGGGGCAGGACCTCATCCCTGACCCGGAGAAGGCATTCTACCCTTTTACAAATCAAGACCATGGTCTCAGATTTAGAGGAGCTGATTCTCATCCCAGCTGCTTCACACTCAGCTGCGAACCGCTCCAGCAAAAGCTGAAGATCACGTTCTGATGAAGCCAACAGGACCACATCATCTGCAAAAAGCAGAGACCTGATCCTCAGGCCACCAAAATGGATACCCTCCACACCTTGGCTGTGCCTAGAAATCCTGTCCATAAAGGTTATTGTTACAAGCCATTTTTCCAGGCCAGCCTAACTCTTCAAAAGATGTTAATGTCTCAGGGTTGACTTGTATTTCTATTTGCGTGGGCGTGACACCAGCCACTCTTTAAAATACCCTCACTCTGTAGGAGCTGATTAGCAATCACCGCTAACCTAGACTCTGATTCTGGCAAAACCAACTTCATGCAGCTCAAGGGAGACAATTTACTCACAACACACCCTCAGTCCATGAAGCTTATGTACACTTCAGGTTAAGACCCTTGCCAGCTGTTCCTTTTATGTTGAGGAGACAACTGACTTTACCTGTAGCCTAGGATGGAGGAAACGACTTACATCAATAACACCTTGGGATGGCATTTACAACCAGCATCTCACCTTGGCTTGGTTACCGACAGGAGGAGACCCCACTCGTAAATCCTTTTTTCGTTCCTCGAATCCGAGGAACTAGGTTTTATTTCACACCGGCATCCTCCCCCACCATCTGAGCCAACTCACCACCAGGTAGTGGTCAGTTGACAGCTCCGCCCCTCTCTTCACCCGAGTGTCCAAGACATGCGGCCGCAGGTCAGATGAAACAACAACAAAGTCGATCATCGAGCTCCGGCCTAAGGTATCCTGGTGCCAAGAGCACATATGGACTCCTTTATGTCTGAACATGTTGTTCATTATGTACAATCCATGACTGGCACAGAAGTCCAATAACAAAGCACCACTGGAATTCAGATCAGGGGGTCCGTTCCTCCCAACCACACCTCTCCAGGTCTCACTGCCGTTGCCCAAGTGAGCGTTAAATTACCCCAGCACAATGAGGGAGTCACCGGAAGGAACGCTTTCCAGCACCCCCTCCAAGGTCTCCAAAAATGGTGGGTAGTCTGAACTGTAGTTTGGTGCAAAAGCACAGACCACAGTCAGAACCCGTCCCCCCACACGTAGGCGGAGGGAGGCTACCCCCTATTTCTGTGGCGCCGAGGGCACTTGTCAGGATGACCCTCATGCACAACGGAGGAAAAAGTAATGCTGAGGAGGCCGATGTCCAGTGCAGACCCAAGTGTATTTTATTTACATTTTACAAATTCAAAATCTAGGCAGCACAAATTCATACCTGCCGCTCTATCCATCACCCTTCCAACAAACACAGAGCTGTATTTATAACAGGTGTGACTAATTGGACCGATCCTAAAACCAGACAAAGGTAATTACAAAAATACAATCCTTCCATATTCTTAAATTATCCTTACATCCTCATCTCTAAGATCGCTTTAAATAATTACAATACAAAAATAGCAACATCTTTAATTAATCCTAAAAACACTCAATGAAACTAATCTGCCTTCCTAGAGCAATTTCACAGGTCACCCCTCCCATTCCTCCTGAATGGAATGCTCCAGAACCTTCTTTAGGTGCTCCAGCTCCCCGGGGATTCTTTTAGCTGGAACAACTCCAGAAACACAAAGGAAACAGGTAAGTACAAACACTCATTTACCACTTCAAATCCTCCATATTCATACCAACTCTTCTTCTTACAGGTCCAAATGCTTCACCCTTTTTAAATAAACATTAAAACAATTGTGATTGAGCCTGGTTTCATTTATCCTACAACCACAGCAAAAACCTGTGTAATGGACTTGCTACATTACACATTCACTGCGGTAAACCCCAACGTACAAGCACCAAGATGGGGTCAACTAGTATGCCCATCCCTGCTCGGCGCCTCTCAGTGGGAGCAACTCCAGAGTGGTAGAAATTTCAGCCCTGCTCAAGGAAACTGGTTCCAGAGCCAGAGCCATGCGTTGAGGTGAGTCCGAGTCCGACTATATCTAGTCGGAACCTCTCAACCTCACACACCAACTCAGGCTCCTTCCCCACCAGAGAGGTGACATTCCATGTGCCAAGAGCCAGCTTCTGTAGCTGAGGATCAGACCGCCAAGGTCCCCGCCCTCGACTACCACCCGTCACACACTGCACCTGACCCTTTTGGCCCCTCCCACGAGTGGTGAGCCCATGAGAAGGGGGACCCACGTTTCCTCTTCGGGCTGTGCCTGGCCGGGTTCCATGGGTGAAAGCCCGGCCACCAGGCTCCCGGCCACCAGGCTCCCGCCAACGTGCCCCACCTCCAGGCCTGGCTCCAGAGGGGGGTCCCAGTGACCCACGTCCGGGCGAGGGAACACGGTTTTCATTTATATAATTCATCATAAGAGGTCTTCGGGCTGCTCTTTGTCTGATCCCTCACCTAGGCCCTGTTTGCCATGAAAGCCTCAGACAACTTAGCTCCTAGGATCAATGAGCCACTCAAACCCCTCCACCACGGTAAGGTGGCAGCCCAGGGAGAGGATTAAGGAGAAATGTAAACTTTATTATTTTTGATTTAATTTATGACCTAAATTCTCCAAAGTTCTGTAGACAGTAAAAACCTTCAGACCCAGAAGCATAAAAAATAAGTCACAGAGCATTTTTAACTAAGCAGATCCGGAACCGTACCGAAGCAGCAGCTCCAGCTGACTGTAGAGGAATCGAACCAGCGCCCGTCGGCTCAGGACTTCAGCGTGACAGTCTGTGAGAGGACAACCAAGGTCGCTCAGGTTATCCAGGTCCAAACATTTTGTCCCTGTGGCCAAAGACACGACCCGGGCTGATCTGAGGTCAAATCCTGAGGAAAAAGAAGGAACTTGAAATCAAAAATAGAATCTTGAACCCATAAATCCATCAGAGATGAGTGGATGCAGGTGAGTTAGTGACTTTCTGAAGGAGGAATAAACAGGAAGCAGCAGGAATGCCGTCTTCCTTCTAACTCACCTCTGGTCATCACGACTCCTGCCAGCATCTTGTAAGGAGTCAGTGAGGTAGAGGAGGTGCAGCAGTCAATCAGCTGGGAGCATTTCTGCTTCACTAAGCGGTGGATGGACTCTGCAAAAAACTACAGCAGAGAAGTTCGGTTTCTCACCAACATCTGATCCTCCTCCAGCCAGGCTGAACAGAGATGCAGCATCACAAACCTCCTTTAGTTTAGAGAAAGCTTCAGACAAGAAAATTCTGGCGGCATTTAAAACTCTTCATAGCCCTGAATCTGTTTAGGACTTTAACCACATCAGGCTGCAAAGAAACGTCTTCACGGTGGCTCCCAGGAGTCCATCCCATAACCGCAGCTAAAGACTATGAGGGCTCTGAGACATAATTATGATGTTTAGATGTTGCAGACGAAGATGCAGAACAGGTCTATTCTATTTCCCATGAATGTCCCGGTTCTCCAGCATCTGATCCAAACAAAACCAGCTTTCATGTTCTAACTCTTGATGTTTGACATGGACTTAAACCTTTAACCTTCCATCTCAACATCACCATGGTAACCAGCCAGTCTCCCTTTCTGCACAGATTTACAGTAATTCTTTATTTCAGAGGTTTGTCTCTAGATGTTTGGTTAAATGTTGACCACAATAAAGTTTTTAACGAGCAGTAAAATCTCTGAATGCGTCCAGACTCACCTGAGGTAGCTGCTGATTGGTCCTGCCTCCCTGGAAACCCGTGAGCATCCTCTCTGGTCTTAGGCGGATGTTGTAAAGCTCCTGTAGAGCTGCTGCAGCTGCTTGAGTCTTAGCTTGTCTTTTACTTTGTCCACAACCCTCAAACACCTCCCCCTCCAGTCTGACCACCATGATGAATCTCCTCATGGGCCTGCCTCGAAGCCGCTCCACCTGACACAGGTATCTGAGTCCAGGTCGCAGCTCGTTGAGCATGGCTACTGGACTCAGATGTTCTAATGGTGAGGTTCTTCTCGGATTTGTGGAGGAACAGAAGTGGTTGCAGCTGCTGGTAAAGAACTCCGTCTTTGCTGAGTTGCAGTGCAGGTTTCCAGTGAGTGGTGGTGTGAGGTCCAGTGTGTCTGCTGTAAAATCTGTCCTTGTGTTGCAGAAGTTCCCCACGGTGACGTGGGCCTGGGAGGCATTGGGGAACTGGATGAACGAATGAAGAGCCTGCTCTGCGGCCCTCAGCTTCGCCTGTTTTTTCGTGGCTCCTCGACCCTCAAAGCAGAAACCATTGACCTCCACGGCTACGCAGAACTCCGGGGCATGAAGCGGACCTGTCTTGGACATGATTTCGTAACTCAGACCAGGACGTAACTCGTTCAGATGAACCAGAGCGTTCTTCTGAGTCACGGCCCAGCCTGATCTTTGACTGATCTGCTGGTTTTGGTAGAATAGCAGCAACTGCTTTCTTCTGAACGCTCTGGGAGATGAAGCACAAAAGGTTGATGGGTGATATTTTCTTAGAAGGTTCAAATTCACCAGAGTTTCCTCCTCCTGATCCTCCAAACTGCTGCTACCTGCCAGGAGACAAAAACATCATTTATGGGTCAAAGACAAGAAAGTTTGTTCAAATACAACAAAAATCACATTATTGATAAAAAGGTGGTCAACAAATGAAGGATTTACTGGAATTATCAGCTGATGAGACCTGGTGTTTTATGGTTCTGATGAAGGATGACCACATGTCACTCCAACCCGAAACAGAATCAGAAATGATCAATATGAGACCGCTCAGACTGCAGTCTCTTTCGAAAACATCAGATTCGTATCAGAATCAGTACCACATATCAAAGTGACCTGGGTCGGACTTGAAAAAACTGGATCAGTGCTGTTCAGACTGTCACAACAAAATCAGATATGAGTCACATGTGGGAAAGAAATCAGATATGAGTCACATGTAGGAAAGAAATCAGATATGAGTCACATGTGGGAAAATTATCTGATTTGATTTGGCTTTTCCTGCAGTGTGAATGTAGCCTTAATCACCAAGACACAACAGTTTTTAACATATTTAATACAATTTGATCTTTATTATTTAAGATTTTTACGAGAAATTATGTCTTGTTCTTTAGTAGCTTCCAGGTAAAATTATCTAAATACTCAAAACCAATCCCCAGTTGTGTTACTGAAACCAGATATGAGTTTTTACCCCTCATGACTGTCTCTTGAGGCCACTTCAGTTCAAGCTCATTAGAATAATGAAGAGTGAAGACTAAATTCTGCTGCACTGACCTTGCAGCTCTGTCAGGTGTGTGGTGTGATAAAGTGTGTTTTTATGGAACGGGACATGAAGGTAATGGTGTGAGTCTGGAGCAGTTGAAGGCAGGTGGAGGTGTTTTATTCATCGTCACGGCTACAACAACGAGGTCATTTTGGGACAAAATGTGACAAAAATCACATTTTTCTCTGAACAATTCTTAAAAGGATCACCTTTTAACTTTCATCCATTTACAAGATTAAACTTCACACTTCATTTAAGATTATCCTAAAGTCCATACGAGACTACTTATTTATCTAATCTCTCTGTAAGCTAATTTACAGATTTAGTGGTTGATGGTCAGGCAAACGGGTGAGATGAGAGTAAATAATGACTCCATCAAAGTTCTGGGATGTGTTCAGAAAACCTCCAGGAACCTCCTGGATCAGGAACCTCCTCATCAGAACGAGGAGGAGCAGCGGCTCTTCCCCGAACTCCCCCGGACTACAGCTGCTCCTGTAAAGAGCCACCCGGCAGAGGAAGCTCATCAATAAAAGCTATAAGAATCAGGAAATATAAACATGAATTCACTGATTATTTTATTCCTATTTTTTTATTCAACACGACAATTACTTAGCCATAAAGCTCCATGTTTATTTCTAATGCTGGTTGATTGGGACGATGGCGGTGGCTCAGGGGGTGGCGCGGGTTGTCCAGTTATTGGAAGGTTGCAGGTTGTTGTGTTTAAATGAACCCCTCCTCCACTGTTAATTATTGATTCAGTAGGTTGGGATGAAAGGATGGATGTAAATTATTCCCATTACTCAGTATAATGTTCCTTGTTCCCATATTCAGGAAACAATTATTGTATGTATTTGGGTGCTTTTAAAGCTTAATATACTACCCTACACTTTGACAAATGTGATGTGAATTTCCATATAAATATGGAAATCCAGTCTGATTGGTCTTGAATGTTTAACCAGAAGATTTAGAATTCTTTGTTTATTCAGGGATTGTAAGACACTTCGTATTAATTCAAGAAGGGAGTCAAGTTTATAAAAAGCAAGAAATTTACTTTCTAAACAATTAAAACATGACAACTTGGACACCTTATGTGATAAATGAATTTAAGTGGATGGAATGTGCGGTGTGATGATGTGTGAATGTGAGGTTATCAGAACCTTCGTATCTGGAGAAACTGAGTGGGAGTGAATTTGGTCTGATCTAAACTAACAAAGTTGGTTCTTATCAAAACCACATGAGACGCAGTCTGCCGAGTCTACGTACCCTGATCGAAGACCCCCGTGGTAGATCCGGAAATGTTGAGGTCCGGGGACCCCAGAGGTACCGAAAGTTCATAGAAGAAACCGCAGTGCCGACTTTCCCGGTCTCGAGTTGTCTTCAGGTCACGGCAGTTGTTATTTGCATCTTAGGAATAACTCTTAAGTTGAAGTTGGTTCAGCTTTGTTCTGAAGGAACCATTTGCGGTCAGCTGTAGCTCGCAACAGGCTTTTGACAGCTTGTCAAAAGACGCTCTGGGTTAAAGAGGTCAGTAGTAGTAGTACCGCTGTGACTGAGGTTCGAAACTGCACAGGGAAAGCCCACTGAATCCAACGCCTTAACCACTCAGCCATCAAAGCTGCAGAAGCAGATGTAAATCTGAACTTCTGGAAGCATAAAAACCTCGACCAGCAACAGACACACGAACCAGTGAATGAATTCAGAAAATAGTCCCAACGTTACGTTTGGAGTTCACACCACTGAAATGACCTCCATCTACATAGCGAACTTAGACAGCGCATGATGTCTGTAACTCGTTCAGTTCTGTAGATCTGGAGCAGGAACTTGAGCTGAGAAATAAAGTTTTAGAAACCAAGACCAAAGAAGCTCCAACTTGTCTTTCATTTTAGTTCCAAACAAGCATCAAAGTCATTAGTGAGAAATGTCTTCTTTCAATTTATATGAAAGCTTTGGCTGATTATAATCTGTAATGGATAAATAATCTGTAATGGATACACTAAAGGAGCTAATCTGCAGGTTAAAGGAGCACCATGAGAGAATGCAGGAAGAATGACAGCCCTTTTCAAAACAAGCGAGTGACTTTCTCACTATCATCCTCCAGTTGGCGTGAAAAACGAGCTTAAAGGTTCCACTATTTTAAACCTTTGGGTGCAAATGTAGGCACAGAATATGATAAAAAAATTATCAATGGCACTATTGAGCTGTTATTTATTTTAAATACAAGTCATATTCATCAGCCTGAATTTATAACACACAATATTAAACAGCCTCTCCCTGGGCTGCCACCTTACCGTGGTGGAGGGGTTTGAGTGTCTCAATAATCCTAGGAGCCAAGTTGTCTGAGGCTTTCTGCCTCTGGTAGGGTCACCCATAGCAAACAGGTCCTAGGTGAGGGATCAGACAAAGAGCAGCCCGAAGACCTCTTATGATGAGTTAATTGAATGGAAACCGTGTTCCCTCGCCCGGACATGGGTCACTGGGGCCCCCCTCTGGAGCCAGGCCTGGAGGTGGGGCACGTTGGCGAGCGCCTGGTGGCTGGGCCTTCACCCATGGAGCCTGGCCAAGCACAGCCCGAAGAGGAAATGTGGGTCCCCCTTCCCAAGGGCTCACCACTCGTGGGAGGGGCCAAAGGGGTCGGGTGCAGTGTGTGACGGGTGGTAGTCGAGGGCGGGGACCTTGGCGGTCTGATCCTCAGCTACAGAAGCTGGCTCTTGGCACATGGAATGTCACCTCTCTGGTGGGGAAGGAGCCTGAGTTGGTGTGTGAGGTTGAGAGGTTCCGACTAGATATAGTCGGACTCACCTCAACGCATGGCTCTGGCTCTGGAACCAGTTTCCTTGAGAGGGGTTGGACTTTCTACCACTCTGGAGTTGCTCCCACTGAGAGGCGCCGAGCAGGGGTGGGCATACTAGTTGCTCACCATCTTGATGCCTGTATGTTGGGGATTACCCCGGTGAATGAGTGGGTAGCCTCCCTCCGCCTACGTGTGGGGGGACGGGTTCTGACTGTGGTCTGTGCTTATGCACCAAGCTACAGTTCAGACTACCCACCCTTTTTGGAGACCTTGGAGGGGGTGCCAGAAAGCGCTCCTTCCAGTGACTCCCTCATTCTGCTGGGGGACTTTAACTCTCACGTGGGCGACGACAGTGAGATCTGGAGAGGTGTGGTTGGGAGGAACGGACCCCCTGATCTGAATTCGAGTGGTGTTTTGTTTTTGGACTTCTGTGCCAGTCATGGATTGTCCATAAAGAACACCATGTTCAGACAAAAAGGTGTCCATATGTGCTCTTGGCACCAGGATACCTTAGGCCGCAGCTTGACGATCGACGTTGTTGTTTCATCTGACCTGCGGCCGCATGTCTTGGACACTCGGGTGAAGAGAGGGGCAGAGCTGTGAACTGACCACTACCTTGTGGTGAGTTGGCTCAGATGGTGGGGGAGGATGCCGGTCGGACCAGGCAGGCCCAAACGTATCGCGAGTGTCATCGGTGCCTGTCGTGGTGGCAACCCCCGAACCCTCTGGTGGACACCGGCGGTTAGGGATGCTGTCAAGCTGAAGAAAGAATCCTATCAGGTCTTTTTGGCCTGTTGGGCTCCAGAGGCAGCTGACGGGTACCGGCAGTCCAAGCGGAACGCGGCTCGAGTGGTCGCTAAGGCAAAAACCCGGGCATGGGAGGAGTTCGGTGAGACCATGGAGCAAGACTTCCGTACGACTTCGAGGAGATTCTGGTCCACCATCCGGCGCCTCAGGGGGGAAAGCAGTGCGCTAACAACACTATCTATAGAGGGGACGGTGTGCTGCTGACCTCTGCTCAGGACGTTGTGGATCGGTGGGCAGAATACTTCGAAGACCTCCTCAATCCCACCGAGACGTCTTCCAGTGAGGAAGCAGAGTTTGGGGACGTTGGGTTGGCCTCTCAAACCTCTGGGGCTGAGGTCACTGACGTGGTTAAAAAGCTCCTCTGTGGCAAGGCTCCAGGGGTGGATGAGATCCGCCCGGAGTTCCGGAGTTCCTTAAGGCTCTGGATGTTGTGGGGCTGTGTTGGCTGACGCGGCTCTGCAATATCGCGTGGACATCGGGGGGAGTCCCACTGGACTGGCAGACCGGGATGGTGGTCCCCTTATTTAAAATGGGGGATCGCAGAAAGTGTTCCAACTCCAGGGGGATCACACTCCTGAGCCTTCCTGGTAAGATCTATTCAGGGGTTCTGGAGAGGAGGGTCCGTCGGATTGTTGAACCTCAGATTCAGGAGGAGCAATGTGGTTTTCGTCCTGGCCGTGGAATACTGGACCAGCTCTATACCCTTAGGGGGATCCTGGAGGGTGCGTGGGAATTTGCTCAATCAGTCTACATGTGGTTTGTGGATTTGGAGAAGGCGTTTGACCGCGTCCCTTGGGGGGCCGTGTGGGGGGTACTCCGAGAGTATGGGGTACCAGGCCCTCTGATACGGGCTGTTAGGTCCCTGTATGACCGGTATCAGAGATTGGTCTGCATTGCCGGCAGTAAGTCGGGCTCGTTCCCAGTGAGAGTTGGACCCCGCCAAGGCTGCCCTTTGTCACCGATTCTGTTCATAACCTTTGTGGACAGGATTTCTAGGCGCAGACAAGGTGTGGAGGGTATCTGTTTTGGTGGCCTGAGGATCAGGTCTCTGCTTTTTGCAGATGATGTGGTCCTGTTGGCTTCATCAGAACGTGATCTTCAGCTTTCGCTGGAGCGGTTCGCAGCCGAGCGTGAAGCAGCTAGGATGAGAATCAGCTCCTCTAAATCTGAGACCATGGTCTTGATTCGGAAAAGGGTAGAATGCCTTCTCTGAGTCAGGGATGAGGTCCTGCCCCAAGTGGAAGAGTTTAAGTATCTCTGGGTCTTCTTCACGAGTGAGGGAAAACTGGAGTCTGAGATTGATAGGCGGATTGGTGCTGCATCTGCAGTGATGCAAGCATTGTTTCGGTCTGTCGTGATGAAGAGAGAGCTGAGTCAGAAGGCGAAGCTCTCAATTTACCGGTCGATCTACGTTCCTACCCTCACCTATGGTCATTAGCTTTGGGTAGTGACCAAAAGAACGAGACCGCGGATACAAGCGGCCGAAATGAGTTTTCTCCGAAGAGTGGCTGGGCTCTCCCTTAGATATAGGGTGAGAAGCTCGGACATTCGGGAGGGGCTCGGAGTAGACCTGCTGCTCCTCCACATCGAGAGGAGCCAGTTGAGGTGGCTCGGGCATCTGGTTAGGATGCCTCCCTGGTGAGGTTTTCCAGGCACGTCCAACCGGGAGGAGCCCTAAAGGTAGGCCCAGGACACGGTGGAGGGACTATGTCTCTCACCTGGCCAGGGAACGCCTTGGGATTCCCCCAGAGGAGCTGGCCCAAGTGGCTGGGGAGAGGGAAGTCTGGGCCTCTCGACTTAGGCTACTGCCCCCGCGACCCAACTCCGGATAAGCGGATG